TTTCAAGAGATCAATGCTCTCCAGAGAAGCCCGAAAATCCCAAGCAGACATTCTTTTCATACAAGAGTCACATTTTGCTACTGAGAAGACCCCTAAGTTATATCTCCACCGTTTTTCTCAATTGTTCATGGCTACCAACATCAAAAAGAAAAATGGAGTTATCACGGCCATTAATGACTCTCTCTCATTTCGCACTATTTCCAGCATAGCCGACCCACAAGGACGCTACCATGTCTTGATTTGCCAAATAAATGACTTAACCCACACCCTGGTGAACATATATGGTCCAAATAATAAACAGATGCAATTTTACCGCAAACTCTACAAAGTCATCTCGCAGTATAAACAAGGCAGACTCATCATAGGTGGTGATTTTAATGTTCTGGGTAACCCTCTTATGGACTCATCTTCCAATAAAAAACCTGCCAAACTTAACTTTAACCAGTTCCTACATGACCATGACTTGTACGACATCTGGAGATGTCAACATGGAACCGAAAAGGATTATACCTACTACTCACCCCCACACCTATCATACTCAAGAATTGATATGTTTGTTACCGACAAATGGACATTACAACAAGTGACATCCTCCACTATTGGAACTATAACATGGTCGGACCATGCTCCAATCAACATATCTTTAGACGACAATCGACGCACAACGATCCCGCCTATTTGGAGACTTGATTCTTCAATCCTGAAATCTCCAGAAAATCAGAAACATATACTTGAAGCCCATAACCTTTTCTTTGAAACTAATGCTACCCCTGATATCTCTATTACTACACTTTGGCTAACATACAAAGCTTACATGAGAGGTATCCTCATACAACTAAACTCTCGAATCAAAAGACAACGGTCCCAACAAATTGACCGACTACTGACTTCCATCCACATAAATGAAGAAATTAACAAAAAGAACCCAAATCCTTCCACATCCGCAGCCCTAAACACTGACAGAAATAAATTGCGCACCATTTTACTACACACGTATGACACTAATCTCCAAAAAACGAAAACCAAATTTTACTCGCTTAGTAACAAACCAAACTCCCTCCTCATTAAAATCATCAAACAAAGACGACTCAAATCTAAAATATTCACGATTCACCACCCTACCCACACACTCTCCAGTGACAAACCCATTAGATATAGCCAACGCTTTTGCTTCTTACTATCAGAACCTATACAATATAAAAGACGATCCGAACACTGTCCAACCAACAATTCCCTCTATTGAAAAATTTCTACAGACCACGAATCTCCCCCAGCTCACCTTACCACAACTTGAATCTATCTCTGTGCCGATTTCACCCACAGAGATTGGAAAAAACCATAAACTCCCTACCTCTAAACAAATCACCAGGGAACGATGGATTCACTAACGAATTTTACAAAACATTTGCATCTAACCTTTCATCACATCTCTCCGACCTATATAACCACGTTGCTTCTAATGGACAATTCCCCTCTGACATGCTACAATCATTAATTACCACTATTCCAAAACCGGGCAAAGACCCCCAATTAGTCCAGAATTACAGACCGATCTCATTACTTAATACGGACATAAAAAATATATGCCAAAATAATTGCCTTGCGTCTACTCCCATATCTACCCACACTAATTCACCCAGACCAAGTGGGATTTATACCTGGTAGACAGGCCCCTGACGCTACTAGACGAATTATATCCCTAATACACCAACTAGAATCTGTTAACCAGCCTTCTCTTTTTCTATCACTCGATGCAGAAAAGGCATTTGATCGAATTCACTGGCAATTCATGATACTTACACTCCGGAAATATGGAATAACAGACTGGATGCTATCGGCGATCCTATCCCTATACTCTAACCCTACTGCTAGAGTACTGACCAATGGCACACTTTCACAGCCCTTCAGCATATCAAACGGAACCAGACAAGGTTGCCCACTTTCCCCTATTATTTTTGCCTTACTCATTGAACCATTAGCATCCAACCTTAGAGACGACCCAAATTTTACAGGAATTAAATTTCTTAAAAATGAACACAAAATTAGTCTATTTGCAGACGATATTATCCTAATGATCACAAACCCCTATAAATCGCTCCAAACGATACGCACGCATATCCACAACTACGCAACAGTCTCATACTACAAATTGAATGAATCTAAATCAACTATGCTAAACCTCTATACGCCCATAGCAACACAGAATTTAATCTCTAAACACTTCCCTTTTACTTGGGAAAAACATAGCATTCCCTACCTGGGAATTAAAATTACAACCAAAATTAACCAACTTTACACTTCTAATTTCAAACCATTACTTGACACAATCCCCCAGGACCTTAAGAGCCTACGCACTACTACTCTGTCGATACTAGGCAGAGTAGCAACCATAAAAATGTGCATACTACCTAAAATACTCTATATATTTCGTACACTCCCTATACCAGTTCCTTATTCTTTCTTCTCTAAACTTCAAAAAATACTGAACAAATTTCTTTGGAACGCAAAAAAAAAAAAACCCAGGTACAATACAAATCTCCTAATCCGCCCCCGCCCTCCAGAGGTGGAGCTGGTCTACCTCATTTAAAATCATATTACCAAGCCGCCTTACTGGACCAACTCTTCTTCTGGTGGCACCCTACTATTGAAAAAACCTGGACTGTCATGGAAACCTCCCTGCACCTACCTCACTCATTATCAGATATACTATTCATACCTCAAACATTTCAGTCCCACTTTTTGCATAATCACCCCTGCATACAAGCCTCTTTGATGGCCTGGCATGACTTCCTAGCTTGTAATCAAGCACATAAAGACAACATACATATTCTGTCCCCACTTTCATCCCTGCACCTCATCTCTCCTCACTTAAATCTGACATCATGGAATGCTCGGGGCATACATTACATCCGAGATCTGTATACTATACATAAAACTAAACTCATTTCATACAACACAAGAGAAATTTCACCTTCCAGACAAAGAACTATTCTCTTATTTGCGTATAACACACGCCCTTTACAAAACAACTCCACCATTCGAAATAGAAATTCCTGCTACTGCACATCAATTCTTTCATAGGACAAACCATCCTAAGAAAGGAATTTTCAACCTTCTACACACTTATAACCGGAACGCTATTCACCACATATACCTCATCCTTAAGTAATTGGGAAAAAAACTTGATCCAACCAATAGCCCAGCATACCTGGGAAAAAACATTCACAATTACATTTAAAGCTTCAAAATGTAGTTCCCATTGGGAAACGTACCTTAAAATTCTACACCAATGGTATCTAACCCCCACTAAATTATCCATATATTACCCTCAGCGCTCCCAGACCTGCTGGAGACACTGCGGAGAAATTGGCTCCCTCCTTCATTTACTATGGACATGTAAGTCCCTCAAATCCTACTGGAACAAAGTTTTCCAAATAATTTCCTCAATTACAAGAATTCCAGTTTCCCCAAACCCGGCCTTAGCCCTCCTCCACATCGGAATAGATAGTTTCCCCATAAACTCACGCACCATCATCATACATATTCTAGCAGCTGCAAAGACCAACATTACTAAATTGTGGCGATCCCCTACCATCCCACTCCTGCCCCGCCTCATGGCTGATCTCAACTTCCAGTGTGAGATGGAAAGAAGAACAGCCCTTCAAAATTCATCATATCAGAAATTTGCAATACAATGGTCTCGATGGTTGAAAAATCCTAATTGCTCAATAAACTGAATACTACCCTATAATACTATAAGGTACTTATCTATGCTACAAGTGTGTCTTCCCTCCCTCTTCCTCCCCCCCACCTCATAGCCCTCCCCCATTTACAACTTACTTGCTCTTAAAAGGTACACAGAATACTGAGCATACTTCTCATGTAAGCATAATCAAGACCTATGGTTTCTCCAGCCAGATGGTGGAGAACCTCCACTCTTACCTGTTTCCTTTATTACTGTTCTCTCTAATGTGTACCATTCTAAGCTGTTGTTTATATATACCCTTGTTATGTTATAATCTTTCAATAAAAATCTGCTAACAGCATAATGATTAAAAATAGTCCCTATTGACTGAGAGGGTTAAGTTCAGTTTTAAGCATTAAAGACTACCGTATTTTCCGGCGTATAAGACGACTTTTCAACCCCTGAAAATCTTTTGAAAAGTCGGGGGTTGTCTTATACGCCGGTGTCAGGGCGGCACTTTTTCGAGGGGCAGCGCGGCGCCGCCCCCCCTCCTCCTCCAATGGACACAAAGTACAGGGGTGGGCAGAGGGGCTGCTGTACCTTACCTGGCTCCGGTCCCACGACGATCCGGTCCAGGAAGCGCGGCTGCCCCTTCTTTCAGTTCGGCCGCTCGATGGTCACGCGGCCGCTCGGCTCCGCCTCCTCACCGGTGATTGGGCGCCAGCACTGGAAAGGCACACAGGCGACCAATCACCGGCGAGGAGGCGGAGCCGAGCGGCCCGCGAAAATCGAGCGGCCGAACTGGAAGAAGGAGCAGCCGCTCCTCTCCCCCACTGACACTAACGATGGGCACTATTCCTCCTCCACACTGACACCAACGATGAGGCACTGTTCCTCCCCCACTGTTCCTCCCCCACTGATACCAACGATGAGGCACTGTTCTCCCCACTGATACCAATGATGGGGCACTATTCCTCCTCCCCACTGACACCAATGATGGGGCACTATTCCTCCCCCACTGATACCAATGATGGGGCACTATTCCTCCCACTGACACCAATGATGGGGCACTATTCCTCCCCCACTGATACCAATGATGGGGCACTATTCCTCCCCACTGACACCAATGATGGGGCACTATTCCTCCCACTGATACTAATGATGGGGCACTATTCCTCCCACTTACTAATGATGGGGCACTATTCCTCCCACTGACTAATGATGGGGCACTATTCCTCCCACTGACTAATGATGGGGCACTATTCCTCCCACTGACTAATGATGGGGCACTATTCCTCACACACTGACACTAATGATGGGGCACCATCATTGGTGTCAGTGGGAGGAATAGTGTCCCATCATTGGTGTCAGTGGGAGGAATAGTGCCCCATCATTGGTGTCAGTGGATGAAAATAGTGCCCCATCATTGGTGTCAGTGGGAGGAATAGTGCCCCATCATTGGAATACCATACTGAAATAGCATACCATATTGAAATCAAATCTGATGTTTTTTCATTTTTATTTGGTGTGCGTTGGAAGAGGGGTAGTCTTATACGGCGAGTATAGCTCAAACCCTATATTTTAACAGGAAAAGTAGGGGGTCGTCTTATACGCCCAGTCGTCTTATACGCCGGAAAATACGGTAAGTCCACTTTAATAATAATTATAATACATGCACATATCTTTGCAGGGAAACAAATGTGCATTTATTATTTTTTTCACAGGAGCCTGCCTAGCATTTCACCCACAATACACCCCTAAAGTCAGGTGTGACATGTTCCTAAAGCTAGAGGTAGCCTTTTAACCTTCAGCATTTCTTGGTTTAAAACACTGAGCACAATAAAATAAACTATTTAATTTTTTTTTACCCCAGCAATTGCAGTTTACACCTTTCAGTGCTGCTGGTTCCTGCTCTCAGTGCTGCTTCCTTGAACTTCCAGTCTTCACAGGAAAGAGTTAACAGGAACAGGGAGAAGCAGGGGAGTGCCTTACCATCCTCGGCTACTGACCTGTGTGTTACTATTGATGCACATAGTGCAGGGAGTCACAACTCAAGTTTCTGCATTCAAGGGTGGTTCCATGGGAAGCTGTAAAATAAAGCAACAGGAAACCTGGGGCAGCATTCATGGCTCCAGATTATAATGGAACATAGGTAAGGATTAAATGATGAAGAGGCTGCATACTCGATAAGTGATTAAATCAGGTGCTGAAAGTGCTTTGAAAAAGTGAGGGTTTAACACCACTTTCATTTTGAAGACTGATTTTAGGGATAGTCGCTTCAAGCATTAGATTTTTGCATAGTTGGTTATCATGAATGTACTGTAACTAGAATACTATCACTATAATTTTTTTTTATATATATATATATGCAAATTCACAAGGGCAGCTCCACCCCAACAAAAGTCAATCCCATGTGCCTATATGTTAAATCTGTCTAGCTTTGTCCTGCAGTGGTGGCTTATGTATGGCAACCTACTCCACATTTTTGCAGATGTCCAACAGGCACCCATGAAATTCCAGGGCAATTTATCCAATCCTACACAAAGCAACATTCACCATCAATCATCATTAGTACAAAAAGGAAAGCCCGGTAATTTTGAAAAAAAACACATTTCTATCACACCAAAAAACAATGTAACTGACCCTAAACTGTTTATCTCTGTTTCTGCCGGTTGCTCATGCTAAGTGTTAGCCATTCAAATGTGGTATTACTGTTATAAGCAGAATGTAAGGGTTGCTGTTATCCATTGGCTTTTTATCCCTTTGGACTCCAGTAGAAAGATCTTCTTGCCATGGTTTCTGCACTGTTCTCACACGGTTAAGATCAAGGGTGGTTAACTTTTTGCCTCTGACGTTGCTTAATATAGCTTATTTTTTGTAATTATGCAATTATTTGTTATTATTGGGATATTAAAGTGTTCTATAGTTATTTTGGAAAAACCAGTGGTTCTCTAGAATGATTGGGCTTCATACTGGGACCCAGAAATTCCAGCAGCACACCCCACTGCAGCCTAGAGCAGTCTAGAGCATATAAGGCGACTGGCAAGCCATAGTCTTGGAGCTTTGGAAGCTGTGACTCACATTGAAGTGTTCAACTCCTTTTCATTCACTGTAATACAAAAAATATGAAATATACAGCTGGAGTATAATTTTTGCAGGATTGAAGACCTAACAACACAAGAGCAAATGACCATGAAATATATTAGAAACTATTAAGTGGTTTGACTTTGCAGCAACAACAAAAGCTAAAATACCAATTTGGCTGTACTGACCATGAACTTTAAGGGGTATCTGAAACCAAACTTTTTTTTTTTTTTTTGGATAAACTAGGTAAAGCATGGACCCCTGTCAGGATTGTTGGCTAACTGTAGAGTCTTGACAGGAAGTGTCAAAAAAATCTAAAGTGGGGGAGAGTCACCTCTTAAAATAGTTCTCACCATAGTGGGTGTCCTTGTTTAGAGGCTTTCCCTCTGTTTTGCTGAGACCTGTAAAATTTTGGATTTCCCATTACTTTCTGTCCCGCTGACGACGGTCACAAAAACAAATGTGGAGATCTCCCCTGGGCACACAGACAAAAATTAAAACCTGAAGGGGATTCCTAACCTTTTTCCACACAATTCAAAACTAGCAAGACAAAAAGTATTTTAAATACTTTAATGTAGAACTAAAGGCAACAAAACCTAATGTGTTACTTGACAAAATAATTTATATTGCTCAATCTGTGTGTTCCTCATCTCTTAAATATAATTTTTTTTTTAAAATTGTGGTTATCTTGCTAGTAGAGCTATTGCTGATGTCTTTCTTTTGAAAGGGTGAGAAAACTCTCCTTGTGTTGTGTAAAATTCTGCAACGTTGTCACCCTTGAGTGCTACACTAACTGAATCCATGGCAGGATGTGATGACATGTAAGCAGTGGACTTGGTTAAGGACTTTAAGTCCTGACCTTTGGATTAGTCTGGATATATCCAAATTTCACCACACATCTGCTCTTCGCAGACCATCTTGTAGTGGGTAGAGGAATTGGTAGCTTACCAAGCCAGCTGGCAGTGTTTTTTATATCCAGTCTGCCAGTAAGTTATTTGTCTCTTACTCATTAAAGCAGAGTTCCACCTGAAGAAGAAAAAAAAGTCAGCAGCTACAAAAACTGTAGCTGCTGACTTTTAAAATACAGTCACTTACCTGTCCGTCGGTCCAGCGGTATCCTCACCACCGCTGGTTTCATCGACCATCTTCATTCTCTGGCGCCGGCATCTTCAGTTTGGGCACCTGGCTGTGACAGCCTGTGGCTTCACAGACAAGTGCCCACTGTGCATGCGCGAGAAGCACTGAGCTTTGTAAATGGCCCCGTGGTCTTCTGGGACCTGTCACCTGTCCCAGAAGACTATGGGGAGGACAACTTCCGCTTTCAATTGCAGAAGTGGGTACCTGTTAAATTCAGGTACCCGCTCCCCAAAGGTGCCAGTCCTTAATGGGGAGCGGGAGACGGGGGCTTAAAGCGGAACTTCCCCTTTTAGAATAGCACTGTAGCATTGGTGCTAGTACTTGTTTTTAGTTTTAATTCTCTTCTAAATTGATTGGTTTCTATAAGTTTGAATTGAAAGGACAATGCTTAGGATGTTTTTTTGCTTGAAACTAGAAGATACATTTTGTTCTGAGGATTTTTCACACTGTAGGTTACAGTTATGATTAATTCTGTTTAGCCAAGTGTAACAGGGCTAGGTTTATTTAAGAACTGTAATGTGGAGAAAACTGCAAAGAATTTAATCATCACCTCAAAATAAATACAAAACTCTTTAGTTGCAGTTAGGCTCTATCCGCCAAAATGTTATGCAGATAAGATGAAAAATAATATATTTAATGGCAACTTTGTTAAAAATAGCTATGAGTTCAAATTAAGTTTCCACCTAGAAATGTTATTGAAAGTTTTTTTCCAAACATTGCCCAGTGATGTGCTGATCGGGAAATTGTGAATCTTGGTGCACAAGTCCTTTTTATGGAGCCAGACAAGTAGTCACATACAGTCCATATGAGATTTTAGCATGACATTGAGTGAGTTTTCTGAGGCAGGCCAGCCTTTTGAAGCAGATGGCATTCCCTCTGTGGAAAGCATTGACTGAAGATTGGGGTTGCTGTTGTCTAGTTCATCTAACTTCTCTGTGTTATCTTCCCAGTTTATATGGAATCTTGTTACTCTAGGGTTTGATGCCAGTATGTTTCTTTGCAGCTATAATAAAATAGAAAGAAAATCAGAATAGATGTAACCACCAACTCTCTCCTCTCATTTTGGTACATGTAGTACCTGCATTATAGTAGCAATTGCTGGAAACCAATAATCTTCTCCCCCCACTTGCTGTCACTATTTAAAAAAAAAAAAAAACAAGCATGGCTGCATCATTCATTCACAGAGTTCTGTGAATGGGAAACTACAAGTACTGACTGACAGTCTTTGTGGCTGTCGGCTTGTAGTTATTAATGAACTAACGTGTTGTTGAGTGCTCTGGTATTTCATGGTCCCTTCCTGCCAGTGTGTATCTGCCTGCCCATACGAGGTGCGAGCAGACAGATACACTTATAAGTCTGCAGGAGTCCAGCATGGCACCTGCGATCTGCTGATTACAAGTGCAATGTTTTACAGGCTCCAAGTAAAAAAATTATAAATGTAAATTTTATTTTACCCTGCAAAAAAGATGTGCATTTATTTATTTATTTTTTAATGTGAACTTATCCTGTAGAGCAGCGGTTCTCAACCTGGGGGTCGCGACCCCTTTGGGGGTCGAACGACACTTTCACAGGGGTCGCCTAAGACCATCGGAAAACACATATTTCCAATGGCCTTAGGAACCGAGACACCACTCCTCTATCCGTCTCCAGTGTGTGGGCGGGATGACATGCCGTCCCTGTCATCTGGACACACCCCCGGTATCAATCCTTCGCCGGTGATTGGCCGCCGGAACTGTAGCTCAGGAGAGGCACACAGGCGGCCAATCACCAGCGAGGAGGTGGAGCTTGGAGAGGAGGAGCCGAGCGGCATCGCGAAAATCGAGCGAGTGAAGAGGAGGAGAGCGGCCGGAGAAGGAAGACATCTGACCGGTAAGTGTCTGTACCATGGGAGAGGGAGGGAGCGAGCGAGCCCAGGCTGGAGCAGGGGTCAGCAAGGTAAGTATCATTGGTGTCAGTGGGAGGAATAGTGTCCCATCATTGGTGTCACTAATACCAATGATGGGGCACTATTCCTCCCCCCACTGACACCAACGATGGGGCACTATTCCTCCCCCCACTGACACCAACGATGGGGCACTATTCCTCCCCCCACTGACACCAACGATGGGGCACTATTCCTCCCCCCACTGACACCAACGATGGGGCACTATTCCTCCCCCCCCACTGACACCAACGATGGGGCACTATTCCTCCCCCCACTGACACCAACGATGGGGCACTATTCCTCCCCCCACTGACACCAACGATGGGGCACTATTCCTCCCCCCACTGACACCAACGATGGGGCACTATTCCTCCCCCCACTGACACCAACGATGGGGCACTATTCCTCCCCCCACTGACACCAACGATGGGGCACTATTCCTCCCCCCACTGACACCAACGATGGGGCACTATTCCTCCCCCCACTGACACCAACGATGGGGCACTATTCCTCCCCCCACTGACACCAACGATGGGGCACTATTCCTCCCCCCACTGACACCAACGATGGGGCACTATTCCTCCCCCCACTGACACCAACGATGGGGCACTATTCCTCCCCCCACTGACACCAACGATGGGGCACTATTCCTCCCCCCACTGACACCAACGATGGGGCACTATTCCTCCCCCCACTGACACCAACGATGGGGCACTATTCCTCCCCCCACTGACACCAACGATGGGGCACTATTCCTCCCCCTGACACCAACGATGGGGCACTATTCCTCCCCCCACTGACACCAACGATGGGGCACTATTCCTCCCCCCACTGACACCAACGATGGGGCACTATTCCTCCCCCCACTGACACCAACGATGGGGCACTATTCCTCCCCCCACTGACACCAACGATGGGGCACTATTTCTCCCCCCACTGACACCAACGATGGGGCACTATTCCTCCCCCCACTGACACCAACGATGGGGCACTATTCCTCCCACTGACACCAACGATGGGGCACTATTCCTCCCACTGACACCAACGATGGGGCACTATTGCTCCCCCTGATACCAACGATGGGGCACTATTGCTCCCCCTGACACCAACGATGGGGCACTATTGCTCCCCCTGACACCAACGATGGGGCACTATTGCTCCCCCCTGACACCAACGATGGGGCACTATTGCTCCCCCCTGACACCAACGATGGGGCACTATTGCTCCCCCCCTGACACCAACGATGGGGCACTATTGCTCCCCCTGACACCAACGATGGGGCACTATTGCTCCCCCTCCCCCTGGGGACACCAACGATGGGGCACTATTGCTCCCCCTGACACCAACGATGGGGCACTATTGCTCCCCCTGACACCAACGATGGGGCACTATTGCTCCCCCCCCGACACCAACGATGGGGCACTATTGCTCCCCCCCGACACCAACGATGGGGCACTATTGCTCCCCCCGACACCAACGATGGGGCACTATTGCTCCCACTGACACCAACGATGGGGCACTATTCCTCCCACTGACACCAACGATGGGGCACTATTCCTCCCACTGACACCAACGATGGGGCACGTTTCCTCCCACTGACACCAGTGATGGGGCACTATTCCTCCCACTGACACCAATGATGGGGCACTATTCCTCCCACTGACACCAATGATGGGGCACTATTCCCCCCCACTGACACCAATGATGGGGCACTATTACTGACACCCACTGACACCAATGATGGGGCACTATTCCCCCCACTGACACCAATGATGGGGCACTATTCCTCCCACTGACACCAATGATGGGGCACTATTCCCCCCACTGACACCTATGATGGGGCACTATTCCTCCCACTGAAACCCATGATGGGGCACTATTCCCCACTGACACCAATGATGGGGCACTATTCCCCCCACTGACACCTATGATGGGGCACTATTCCTCCCACTGACACCAATGATGGGGCACTATTCCTCCCACTGACACCAATGATGGGGCACTATTACTCCCACTGACACCAATGATGGGGCACTATTCCCCCCACTGACACCTATAATGAGGCACTATTCCTCCCACTGACACCAATGATGGGACACTATTTCCCCCACTGACACCAATGATGGGGCACTATTCCTCCCACTGACACCAATGATGGGGCACTATTCCTCCCACTGACACTAATGATGGGGCACTATTCCTCCCACTGACACTAATGATGGGCACTATTCCTCCCACTGACACCTATGATGGGGCACTATTCCTCCCACTGACACCAATGATGGGGCACTATTCCTACCACTGACACCAATGATGGGGCACTATTCCTACCACTGATACCAATGATGGGGTACTATTCCTCCCATTGACATCAGTGACGGGACACTATTCCTTCCACTGACACCAATGACGTGGCACTACTCCTCCCACTGACACCAATGATGGGGCACTATTCCTCCCACTGACACCTATGATGGGGCACTATTCCTCCCACTGACACCAATGATGGGGCACTATTCCTACCACTGACACCAATGATGGGGTACTATTCCTACCACTGATACCAATGATGGGACACTATTCCTCCCACTGACACCAATGACGTGGCACTACTCCTCCCACTGCAAAATTACAGTTATGAAGTAGCAACGAAAATAATTTTATGGTTGGGGGTCACCACAACATGAGGAGCTGTATTAAGGGGTCGCGGCATTAGAAAGGTTGAGAACCACTGCTTTAGAGTCTTTGCAATTTTACATTGAGGAATATTCTGAAATGAAAACATTTTTAGATGAACCTTTTACAAATTGGTAAACCTCTGCCAGTCTTTACTTCTGGGACACTCTGACTCTCGAAGATGTTCTTTTCATACCCAATCATGTTTCTGATCTGTTGCCAGTGCACCCAATTAGTTCCAAAATGTTCTTCCAGCTCTTGTTAGTACCACTTACTTTGCCAGCTTTTTGTTGCCCTGTCCCAACTTTTCTGAGACATGATGTTACCATCAATTTCAAAATTACCTTCTTTTTTTCTTAAAACTACATTTTCTCAGTTTAAAGTATAAGTTCACCTTTGAAACATGTTACATGTTCTACCCGTTTTTAGGGGTGGAACATGTAACATGTTCCCATAGCCGCACCAGCTTCCACTGCACCTGCAACCCCCCCTTCCTCTGACAGATAGTATGGGGAAACTTCTCCCCATATTATCTGTCAGATTTGAAAGTAGCGCAGCCTTACTAGCAAAAAAATGTGCATTTATTATTTTTTGCCAAAAGGTGAACTTTTCCTTTAAGCATTTGATATGTTTGCCATTTTCTAACTGTGAAGAAAAACATGGGTTTATGGGATTTGCAAATTGCATTTTGTTTTCATGGAGATTCTTATACAGCATCCCAACTCTTTTGGAATTAGGGGTTGTACATGTTTTAATATGGATGCACTACCACTCATAAAAGCAGCTGCTAGCAACTTTAAAACTCTGGAAACTTTGTCCAATAAATTGTAGGCAGAGAGCAAAGGACTAATCACCAGTACTGCTTGTGGTCTCCCTGCTGTTGATCTTTTCATTATTATTGACTTATCATGCCTTGCTCTGCACTGTCTTTGTATGAAGGTGGTCATCTTGGTAGTAGCAAGGCTTTGCTTCCTCATGTCAGAGCCTCCAGCAAGCACAACAGTGAGCAAAACAGTAGTTACACAGCCAAATCTTTCTCCAGAGCTCTTAAGTGTGGCAGCTGTCTGCAGCAGTGCCTTTGATTTCACACTGCAGATACAGAGCTATGCGGTTGTATGCAATGGGTCCATGTATAGGCACAGGAAGTGTACTGTTGTATTCCAGGATAACTTCAACACAAAAGGTATAATTTTCAGGGTACTGCTTAGGCAGAATGAGCTTTTCTATTAGGTCCCTAAAACATAGCAAAGCTTTACTTTACCCTCCAATAATCTTTTTTTTACCTTCTGGTAAAAGGTATACTGGTTTCTTTACAGTGGGAAAGATTTCCATTGAAACAGTAACATAGAGGAGTTAATATTTGTGGTTACTTGGTTTTGTTGCCACCTTCAGGTGAATGGATACTGGCTAAAAAGATGGAATCTCTGCCCAAGCATAACCCTTCCCAACTTAACTAAGCCTGGACGGGTGGATGCTTGAGTCTTCCTGAAGATCTCTTTTTGGGATTTTGTTTTTACTCTGAGCCTGTTAATTACACCCCTACTGGACAGAGGGGGGCTTTGGTCACTACACCCAGCAAGCCAAGGAGGACTGTACCCGGACCCCACATGCAAAAGAGGGGACAGTCCATATCTGCAATTCAATACTGGATCCTGTGTATCTGGTGATCTCCCTCGTGGGTGTCGTACATGTCCAAGTTAGTGATCCCCCTGGTGGGGAGTAGAGTCCTTGGAGGCCCTGCAAAACCCATCTGCCATGGCGGGTGAAGTTTGGGCCTGAAATGGCCCTGCAGTGTGGACTCCTGTATGCTTCTGTGGTCTTTGGAGCTGTGCCAGTTTATATGGGTTATGAAATCTCTGGTGATCAGGACAGTGGTAGATTGCTTTTTTACCATACGGGGTGCTCTACAGGCTGTTGCAGCGTTTAATAGGGACAGTTTGATACAGAGTGCACAGTGTCACTGAGCACTATTGCACATGTATTGTTTTGACCCTGGTTTCAAAGCAAATGTTTGTATGGGAACACTTACATGACAGAATCCAGCCTACCTATACACCATCCTGCCTACTAAAGATGTCTGCTTTCAAATCTTCTCATTGGGGCACTTGTCTTTTAGGGGGTGCTGCCAAACAAGTTTTCTGTTTTCTCAGCTGAGTAGCTACTTCCCTCTTTGGTACACAGGCCTATTCTTCCTCAGTAACACATTTCTTTGTGTCGGGAGGTAGAGACCAGAACAATGGGATGGGCTCCCAAAGCACTTTATCAGGGTAGAGAGGTGCACCTGCACAGTCCACCCTGCAATTGCACCCCTAGGGGTCATATTTGTTCTGAATCCCTTCCCTTACTTTCACTTCTCTTGTGTCCAAAAGAGGAATTCTCTGCAGCCTTATCTGGATTGCAGGATCATCTTTCAGAGTTTTCACTGGTTTGGGATGCCTGAGATGCAAACTTGGGTGCTCTCCTTCCCCTCCTCCACTTTTGAGGAAGGAGAAGGCATCAGAGAAAGTTCTTCTGGAGGATTTAAAGGAATAAGTGGAAGCCATTGATGATTGGGAATCCTCTGTAGACGGAGACCATGGCAGGCACCCTGGTACATGTGGTTTGCACTAACCTTAAGTTACCACTACCAGAATTTTCTTCCCATCAAGTCCCAGTGCTTCCTTCACTTACATGAAAGTAGTGTATGCCGATTGGGCTCACCCACAGAATGTGTTGTCACCACCAAAAGGTTTGCTCACCAGTACCCCATGGAGAAAAAATCTATTTAAAAAATTGTGCTCTCCAGCTGTTGACCTGGCTATTTCCTATTTATATAAGACCCTGTCGGTCTTTGTGGATTAGTTCCCAGTCTTAAAAAAGGAACCATGAATAAAATATTAGAAGCCCTCTTTAAGGCGTCCTATTCTCTAGTAGGAGCAGCTCTTCAGCCTGCTGTGGGAGTTTGTCAAGCCCTTTAAGTATGAGTATAGTGGGTGCTCTGTTCTATAGAATCTGACCCAGAAGACTTTCCAAGAGCCCTGAGCTTCTCAGTGAATGCTTTGGAAAATTCCATAAGGCAGCTTTTTACAGGTTGGCCCCTTTTCTGTTCACATGAGAAGTATCCTGTGGTTCAAGTGTTGGTCAGTTGACCGTCTTCTCAAAAGGCAAATTGAGAAGCTGCCCTTTGATGGCAAATGCTTGTTAGGATCATCCTTGGATGCCTGTAACCAAAAGGATACTGTAGGGAAGAGCATGCACTGACCCTTGTGAAGGTGGCCTTCTAAAATCAGAAACTGGTGATGCCTTTAGAGTCCAAGAAGGGTTTTTCTCATATGCAAAAATAACTGGACCTCCAAGTTCTCTGGTATTGGAGGCAAATCATCCTCTAGTGTTGGTGGGGAGCATCTATGGACCTTTGCAGCCTTTTGGACTCAGCAAGTTGCAGATGACTGGGTTTGTAGCGTGGTAGTTCCACTGATTTTTTTTCCCATCCACGCTTTGTTGCAAAGGTTTCTTCAGATCCACAAATAAGAGCCGCTTCATTGCTGCTTGTCAAACTCTGAACCCTGAGTTTAAAATGCTGCAACAGAAAAGCAAAGCATCAAGGTCGCATCATGTGAACAGCCCAGTCTGGCTGTTATTTTATAGTGCAGGTGGGGGCAGTAAAACCGCAGCTCAGCTGCTTGTTTTTGTCACCCCTGACTGTCCATCTGAAAGAGACCTATTTCACGAGCAGATGTACCTATTTATTCCTGGAGCCATGTTTGTTTCCTGTATATTTGTGTATATACTGACCTTCCCAGGTCAAAAATTAATATTGGGAAGCATTAAGTATGGTCCTCCACAACTGCCCCAGTTTCTCATGTGGCCCCTTGGAAACATTTCTTGCCCACCCCTGGATTCTTAACAGTACTTCTTGAGAAGGAAAAGGCTGGAATTTGTAGTGTGCAATTCAAAGGAAATCAGCAAAGCAGGGTCTTTATACAGCCAAGCTTATTTTTCGCAATCTATATGTTAACCTGATATTATGAATGATACGTGCTGCTGGCTGTCATATTTCTAGAATATGTTCTTACATACAACGCAGCTGAATGCTCAGTGAATGGTGACAGCCCATTATTGTTTTCCTCCTGTGTTATTACCGTCACTGAAATTCTTCTCTTGTACACTTATCATTGCCCGTAAAGCTGTTTATTGTACAGCAGATTCAGAAACAAGTAGAAGTGGCTAAACTTTGCGCACTGATGCCAAACTGATACACACTCTGCCTTTTTCTAAGTTGGTACCATGTGACTTGCAATGGTAGCACAAGCCAGCATTTCTTACCTTTGAGAAATCTGGTTTCACTGGTGGGTTTTCCCGCAGTTCTGTTTCAGTGTATTCATTATTAACATAATAACCCACTCTGATAAACTCTTGACTTCTGTATGTACATGTAATTAAAACTACTGTGACACCAACAGCATCTGCATCAGGAATAAGTCCAGGGTTGGGAGCGTCTGCCTGGAAGTGGAAAGATACAACAATTATTTTTTGGAGGAAGAAAAACAGCAATAATATGGCAGAAGTAAAAGAAAATCTCAACTGGTACCACAATATATCACCCTGGCATTGCTGTAGACAGATGCTCACATGTATTTATTCTTCTATCCTATGTCATGATGTGGAAATTTTAAAACTGTAGCAGAGAAATATTAATGGCATAGCAGGTATGATGCAGCCAGTGTTTGGGGATTGCTCATTGATTAGAATATATGATAGCTGATGGCTACAATTAAGATACCTATAGACAGCCTTTGGGTTGCTATACAATCTACATTAATTTAACTTTATATAAGTCTTGGGGCACGACTTACAGGGGCTCCCTCCAGTCACCCGTACTGTAAGGATAAAATGTGATTATGGGGATCTCTGCTTTGAACTGCAGTCATACTGGTTCTCAGGAGTGTTTTTTTGTTTTTCTTCCTTTTAGGAATCATGATTTCTTCTGATGTTTCTACCATTCATAAAATATACCGAGTGTAGTTTAAGATCTAGGAGGTAACCACTGCCCCTGGGACCATCAATGGCCTTGTATACTGTACCAGATGTTCAGGAGTAGAGAAACATGCTTGGATAGAACAATCATTACAAAGTTTTTAACGTTAATCTCTAGGCAAAACTTTTTAGAATCATGTTACATTTTTACTGTGGTTTGTGTCTCCATTGGAAATTCATCCTTCTATTTGTACTGCAGACCACTGTCAGAGATAAAGTGAGGGTAAATACAAAGTTTTAGTTGCCCCCAAAACGAGGGGAGAGGGAAATCTTCCAGTTGATACACCTCTTTAGGGACAACAAGAGAATTTTGGAAGCTTTCTTCTTTTTGTTGAGCCTCTGAGGAAATTTCCCTTCACTTCCTGTTCCAATGCTACTCCACTCAAAAATACAAAAAAGTTGTTTTGGCTATACATACATACACTTTAGTTATTTAGATCTATATAACCAGAAGATGCTATGAACTCCAGCTGAACATGGCTGTATTATTTGGGGGGGTTGTCTATAATATGTTAACCCGAAAGCCTGCTATATTAGGTTTAAAGGAGTTCTATGGTCACAGCATACACTTTCATTTTATAACATCAGCATTTTAACAGCAATACAAACCATAGTTATTTTTGACAATCCAATATAAGCTTACTTAAAAAAAAAAATCTCCTTTCATAATGGGAGTGCTGCCTGTCTGCTAGCAATCTCTTTCTACAACTTCCTGAATTCCTCTACATGCTTTTCATCTTCTCCTCTGCAGCTTACTTTTAATTTATATGCCATGATACTTTACTACCTGCAAGCTGTGATTCATGTCCTGATTCCAGCTTCTAAAACTCCTCCTCTGTAGTTGAGAAGACAGGCTCTGTGAAATGTGTTACACAGCAGTGCTACTCACAGGGCATAGGGAATATATGTCACAGAATTCAAGGAAGTCAATTCTGGTGTGGGGATCTCCACAAAGTAAATTTACAAACTAAAAGATCATTCAGATTAATAGGAGTAGGCTAGAAATAACTGAGGTACAATGTGGAAGTGAATATATAATTTTACATTTTACCACAGCTAAGTTTTAAAGTCTAACTTCACTCTCCCAATCAACATTGACTATTATAATCTTTATGCTGCTGGCATTAGTAAATAGATGGAAAAGCATATCACATTTACTTGTTTTAACCAGTTGCAGACCACGCACTGTAGCTTTACTGCTACAGTGCAGGTCAGCAGGGCAAAATCACGTGTATATATATGTAATTTTTATTTTCCGGGTGGGGGGAGGTGCGCACACCCGCCTAGTCATTGCCTCCCTGACATGCCGATCTGTGGATCCTGGCCGGTGATTCACAGCAGGGACCTGTCAATTGGAGCTAGTGACAAGAGAGATATCTGTGTTGATAAAATGAAAAAATTAAATAAAACTCTTGAAGGCTGCTTGGAATGTTAAAATTCCCAGTTGTATTGCAAGCTGGATACAGTGTGATCTTGGATGTTCTGGGCGCTGCTGTGACTCCTGTTGTCATCTATCTTCTGATTTACATCTCTCACAGTGGGTCTCTTGCTCAGCACCTCATCCATTTAGAAAACATCTTGTAATCTTTTCAATGAAAACAAGATGTTCTGTGAGTGGATGAGGGTAAATCCTGACATTCATCTGACCCTCCACTCCAACTTGTCCAATCACAGAACTCCTTATATTAATTGAAAAGAATACAATACGTTTTCTAGAAGGATGAATTAGCGAGTGACCTGCTGTGAGAGCTGTAAGAGACAGGTAATCACAGCAGCATTGCTGATAAAATCAAAGCTCAGTCTATCTGGCACAAAATACATGAGAATTTTAGCATCCCCAACAGCCCTACTGATATTAGACGCCAATCATTGGAGGAAATAAGCTGGTCCAATCTAACATCTAAAAATCAATTCTAGTTGGATTTCCACTTTGATGGTCAATTCAGGTCCTGGGCTTAGCAAGGACCCTGGCTATCACTGCAACACACTGTGCTAGGACCTGTAACAGCATCTGTGATGCACCCTCAATATTTAAAGTAGGTTCCACCCCAAAAATACTTTTACTTCTTGAGGGGGAGGAGATTAGAGCCAACTAAGGTTGTGTTTTTTTTTTTTTGCATAAAATCTTACCTGAAATACAAACATGTGCCGTCCTGCAGGTACGGGTCCTACCAACACAGAGTCTAGCACCTGATCGTATTCTTCACTTTCAGCAGAACCCACATAAATTATTTTCCATTCCAAGTCTGGAAAAGAGAAAGCAGTGTTTGCTGAGCTGTGTAAAATGTATGCCTAGGTTTGAAATCCATCCCAATGCACAAATGATATGTTTTTTTACTTGTTGCTAAGCTGAAATCCGTGCTGGCTTTTTATGTCCCTTAGGGAATCCACTGGAAAGATTTCCTCACCTACTCTACCAGGCAATCTACTATTATGCAGAACTAGCAAATAACTGTGGAATCCAAATGCAGAGGAGTAACACCTTTGTTACAATTGTCCAATCAGTCGCCAAAGTGTGACACCTTTTGTAACAGCTTTTAATTTCCAAGAAACAGAAGAAGCTGGCTGGTGGTTGATCTCACAAATGCCTAGCCAAAACTGATATTTAATTTATATGCTGTTGACCTTTAAGATCTATTTTCATATAAATGCGATGAGTTTAGAATGCAATTCGAGGTGCATTTATACACTGCAGTTGCTATGTGATCTTAGTGCATGTGCTTTGTGACTTTCATCTGATTTTTACTACAACTACTACAATGCACACGTACATGTGTTTTTGCTACGTTTCCATTCAAGTCTGTGGACACTGAATCTCACCAAAGTAGAACAGAACCCAAGCAAGCAGATCCAAAATAGAAATGTGATTTCGCTGTAGTCCACTAGTCTATCTTGATGATGCAATTAACTAAATGAAAGAGGTTTTCCTAAAGCCGGCCATGGACTGAAACTCAGCTAGTTCAGAAGGAACTGTTTGAATTTTGATCCATCTATGGGCAAGCTGGTTGTACTAAAGTCAATCCATCAACTTCACTACAACCAGCCAGATTTTTGCTTTCACCTGATCACTGCTGGCAGCTTGATTATTGTATTATGCCAGTGGAGAAGGCTCCTCACCGGCAGAACACAATAGTGCTGTGATAGGGATTCCCCCATCAACACTGACCTGTGGTTGAAGAAAAGAGCATTGTATAATGTATGGCTTACCTAACAATTGGTTCCAACCATCCTGCTCTCAGTCCTGCTAGTTCCCCTTTCCTTGATGATGAAAAGTATCCCTGCAATCACCATGCTTTACTGTGGTAATGGTGTTCTCATTGTAGTAAGCAGTGTTTGATTGCACTATGTTGTCTTTCAGCAAACATGGTTACATGCATTGTGGTAAATTATAGACAGGATTTTATATGTGTTTTTATTAGCAAGGACTTTCATTTTACCTATCATAGCTTTGGATCTCCGCAGCTAAAATTGCTTTGTGTTTGCTTCTCTAATTAATGCTCTCCTTACCCAGTCACTTCGTTTTGTTGGATTCGTTTTGTTGCCTTATCTAAGCAGAGTCATGGTTGTGCCATGCTTTAATTTTAAATTTACTAATGCTCCAGGAGAAGAGGTTTGAAGTTTGTGTTTGGTTTTTTTTGTTTTTTTCATTCTAGCAAAACCATTGTTGGTGCTTCTTCTGAACTAGACAATTTGTAATGGCTCCTTTACGTTTGTTTAGACATGTTTCTTACCAACTGTGAAGCTGAGGGGGTGCAGTTAAATCATAACATTCCAGTTAAATTAATTTTATTTCCAAGTTGTAACCCTTGGAAATGTCAAGGGTGGTGACGTTACTCAGTGTGCATTATTTATAAAGTTGCATTGTAAGCACAGCACCATGTATAACTTTTCATTGAGTTGGAATGCAGATACTTTTTGCTAAAGTTTTATTGTGGTTCTCTAATAAATATGCATGCAAAAGAAAAAGTAAATCTAAAAAATAGAAAGATAGGGTTTCATATTTTGATCTCACTGAAAAAACAGGGGCCATTCCCAGCAGGATAATCTTTCAAGAAGTGTCCCTGGAAATGGGGGACATTTGGCAACTACACAGTCACTTCTTATTCTGGTTTGTTGTGCAGCTGTTATCTCTTTCCCCATTCTGTAAGCCTGCCATCCAGTTTTCTTTTAGATCTTGTCAATTACTTCATTGTGCTTTGTAAACAATGTTGGTAACTATTTGTATATCTACTTTACATTTACTATCTACCAATCCAACAATTTTATAATGCAAGAAAATGAGCAAAAAGTTTTAGCATAGAACATGAAGCAAAAAAAAAAGTCATGTCTAACATTATACAGTTAAGTGTGTGTATATAACAGCAATGTATTGTGAATCACTGAAATAATGAACCCCCTTCGCTGCCACTTCTGTAACTATTAGGGTTCACAGGGGCAGGTGAATATTTTTTGCATGAACGCAGGTTCTTGCTGGCAAAAGATCCTGCAGAAAACCTGCACCTAAGGTACTTGCGTTTAGACATGTTTAGTTGCAAACAGTGTGCAGTTATTCTTTGTCAAATGAATGGCTTCACATTTATGCATGGATGCATTTAGGCACGTTTGTGTGTAAAATATGCAGATCTGTTTGTCCTAATTTTTTCTGTGCAGCTAAACGCAGAACACAATATCGCTGCTATGTGTGTATAGGGTCATTGATACAGTGCTACGTGCAGATGCGCACAAACGTGTGCACAATTGATCGTTGCTTTTTTTTTTTTGCCGGCTTCAGCAGAGTGCAGGGGTGATAAGGGTCTCTAGGACCCCAATATCTATTTAAAAAGGACCTCTGTTGCCTGCACTTGCTAGACCCTCTGTGACAGCAAAAAAAAAAAAAAAGTTTAAAAAGGTGAAGTGCGGGATAGGAAAAAAAAAAAATACAATACTGTGCAAGCATTTTAGGCAGGTGTGAAGAAATGCTGTAAAGTAAATGCTTTAAAAATATATATTTTAATTCATCAATTTACAAAATGCAAAGTGAGCGAACAGAAGAAAAATTTATATTTGGTGTGACTACCCTTTGGCTTCAAACCAGCATCATTTTTTACACTTGCACAAAGCCAGGTATTTTGTAGGATTAGTCACGTGTGTGATTAACCATTTATACCAAGCAGGTACTAATGATCATCAATTTCATATGTAGGTTGAAACACAGTCATTACCTGAAAAAGAAAAAGCTGTGTAAGAGGCTTAAAACTAGGTGAGGAAAAGCCAAACTCTGCTACTAAGGTTGTGGAAGACAGTTTCATGTTACAGGTCATACACCACAGCAACAAGACACATGGTAGTTATATTGTCTCAGCAAAGTCCATCCCAGGCAAAGATTTCAAAGCAGACTGGGGTTTTTAAGATGTGCTGTTCAAGCTCTTTTGAAGAAGCACAAAGAAACGGGCAACAATGACTATAGATGCAGTGTTTGGCCAAGGAACCTAATGCAGCAGATGAAAGACACATCATGTTTTCTAACGTTCGACATCAGCCATCTACTGTCCGGAGAAGTCTGCCTAGAAGTAGTCTTCATGGAAGAATTGCAGACAAAAAGCCATACCTCCTGATGTGGACAAACAAGTCTAAGCAACTCGAATATGCATGATGAGTCAAAATTGGAAATATTTGGCTTGAGAGCGGTACAATAATGAGTGTCTGCAGCCACCCATGAAGCAAGGTGGAGGTTCCTTGCATGTTTGGAGCTTAATTTCTGCCAATGAATTTGAAGATTTGGTCAGAATCAATGGTGACCTCAATGCTAAGAAATACAGGCAGATACTTATCCACCGTGCCATACAGTCAGGCCAGAAATGTATTCTCTAGCAGGACAATGACCCCAAACATACAACCAATGTCATTAAGAACTATCTTCAGTGTAAAGAAGAACAAGGAGTGTTGGAAGTGATGGTGTGGCCCCCACAGAGCCCTGATCTCCAGATCATTGAATCTGTCTGGGATTACATGAAAAGACAAAAGGATTTGAGGCAGCCTACATCCACAGTAGATCCGTTGTTAGTTCTCCAAGGTGGACGAAACAACCTACCCGCCAAGTTCCTTCAAAAACTGTGTGCAAGTGTACCTAGAAGAATTGATGCTGTTTTGGAGGCAAAGGGTAGTCATGCCAAATATTGATTAGATTTGGATTTTCCTTCAGTTCATTTACTTTACGTTATTGATAAAGAAACGTGTTTCACTTCTATTTCTGAAAGCATTCTTAATTTACAGCATTTTGCACACCTGCCTAAACCTTTTGCACAGTAATGTACATATTTATGTATGTGGTAGTCTGTCCCTGCCGGCTCTAAAACTGAGAATTGATCGCTCACATGTCTGCTGATCACTCAGTTCTCGGTCTTCACTGAACAGAGCAGTGACTGCCAGGCACTGACTCTCTGCTCCTCCAGCGCTTACTAGAGGGCGGGAGTGGCTGTCTCAGGCTCTCAGCGGTACACAGAGAGGCTGGGACAGCTGCTAGTCAGGTATCTGGGTGGATCCCAACATTATCTAACCCCTTTTGTATCGCACTGTATTGTTATTGTACTGTCTCCCATTGTAATGTACAGCGCTGAGCGAACTGTTGGTGCTATATAAATACTTTATTATAATAATAATATTGTTGTTGAGATCCCTGCAGAGCCTTAACCGGGTCTTTGAAGTCAATGGGCTTTAGCCCACAGTTGGCTGAATCTGTGTTACAGGGCTGCAGAACTAAGTGCACTCCTGTGGCCTTTTGGAAAAGTATATCCAAAAGAGCTTTGGCCATTCTCCTTTAAAGGATAAGTCTACTTTTGAGAAGATGTTTTGTGTTCCACCTGTTTTTAGGGTGGAACACATGTTCCCACTCATGCAGCCCTCGCTGATACCTCCCCCTCATTGTGACAGCGAGCTGGGGATCTTCTCCCTGTACCTGCTGACACAATTTTTTAAAAATGCATCCACCCACACGGCTGTATTAGTCATTCACAAATATCTGTGAATTAATGAACTACAAGTACTGACAGCCTTGGCAGCTGATAGCTTGCAGTTCTCAATGAACTACCAGGGCGCTGTTGAGCACTCTAGGTAGTTCATTGAGTCTTCCTGTCAGTGTGTAACTGCCTTGCCCATACAAGATATGAGCAGACAGGTACACTGACAGTCTGCAGGAGCACTTCATTGCTGCTGATCATGGGTGCAATACTTTCCAGTCTCCTAGTAAAAAAAAAAAGTAAATGCACATTTTTTTTTTTTAACCTGAATTTTTTTTTTACATTTTTTTTTTAGAAAAGTGAACTTATCCTTTTAATTAATTAAAAAAAAAAACAAATGTTAAAATCCCCCATACAGGTGTACCTCGGTTAACGTACTTTTCGGTTTACGAATTAAAATCCATTGAAAATAATGCCTTGGTTTACGAATTTTTTTTCGCAATGCGAACGGAGTACTTGGTTTTCAATGCATTTACAAATTTGTTTTTTAATCATGCCCCTGTACAGTACTATGCCTTTAAAGTGCACTTTATAAAGAGTTTTGAACAGATAAAGACTTTTGTTTTACTTTTTTCTGACCTCCAGAACAGATTAATTGGTTTTCAATGCATTTACGAATTAACTTTTAAACATGTCCCTGCACAGTATTTATGCTTTTAAATTGCACTTTATAAAGAGTTGAACAGATAAAATACTTTTTTTTTTTTTTTACTTTTTTCTGACCTCCTGAACGGATTCATTGGTTTTCAGTGCATTCCTATGGGAAACCGCGTTTTGGTTTACGAATTTAATGCATTCTGTGGGACTTTTTGTATTATGAAAAATTTGTAAACCAAAATGCAGTTTCCTGTAGGAATGCATTGAAAACCAAGGAATCCGTTCTGGAGGTCAGAAAAAAGTAAAAAAAAAAAAAAAAAGTATGCCTGTATTTGCATTATGAGCACATGCATGCAAAAATGACAACTGAAAAGTGAACTTATCCTTTAATGAATAAAATAAATGTTAAAAGCCCCCGTGTACGCATTATGCGCACGCGCATGCAAATGTGACAACTGCCCCACACAATAGGTCTGTTCACATATGCCAAAGTAACAGCAATCATTCAATGCTAGGGTTATCATTCCCGGGTAAGTCTAGACAATTTTGAGAACCATACTTTTTTTGCTGTTTCACAGGCGCACGCAATTTGAGGCTTGACATATTTGGTTCCTGTTTACCTGAAGCAGCTTCATCTTTTATATTTTACAAAAAAAAAATAGAGTATTATACTCTGAGTGTGTGTATGCACTAATGTTAATTTGAGTGTATTTTTTGTACTGAAAGTTATTTTGCTTTTAAAAATATACATGTTTGAGTTTATAGAGCATCTTCACAAGCAAAATCTGCCTTCTAGTATGCGTGTGCAAATTGTAGAAACATTTGGTTGAGGCAGCTAAAGGGTGAAAGCTGTGCCTGACGATTGGCATTTTTCCCTGTGTGCTAATGGCAGGTCTGGTTTCCTCTCAGCCCCAACTGTTGAGGAATGGTAGGTGATGCTGTGCCATCAGTCAGGTCTTGTGGCTGGTTCGGCACTCAGTATGGAGCATGCCATGTGATGTGGTGACAGTGCAGGCAGGGATCAGAGGGATCAGGGGTCAGTGAGCTCTTCCTGTGTGTGCAGTGCTGTCATTCCCCCACACATCATGGCTGCTGCTGCCACCATGGCACCTCTCCTCGCAAACTTTCCCTGCGCTCCAGCATCTGCCATCCCCCTCCACACACATACACACAGAGAGTTCGTCTCCGGCTCCTTCCTCCCGGCCATCCTCCATTCCTGTGCCTGCACTGCTCGGCGGATGGCAGGAAGCAGGCCTGGGAGAAGGACAAGTTGCCTGGCAGCCTGGACTCACCTTCAGACAGGTCCTCTATGCATTCAAAGGTGATCTCAAACTGGAAGGGGTTGTAGAAGGGAGACGGGTTGTCCAGCACCACTACATTGTTCACCTGAACCTTGGCCATGTTTTGGGAAGGCACAGACAATGGGAGCAGAGCGGCTCCAGCAGGGCTGTGTTGTATGTGCGGAGCCCCGCTCGTCACTGCTCCTTCTTGCCGCCCATGTAGACGAGGAGTCCGGGGAAAGTTTCCTCCACGGCGAGCCTCTTCTCATCTCTAGTCCATGGAGCCCGCTCCACTCTGCCTGCCTCTTCTCGTAGTTTTCGGTGCCTTCCTAGCTCACTTCACTACAGCACATTCTGCTCTGTTGCTGGAACAGCGTGTGTCCGTATTGGCTGCTCCCGAGCCCTCCTCCCCGAATGCTAAAAGCTGCACGCAGGAAAAGAAATAGACGGCTCACCGCCACTGGAGCTGGGAAGGTTCCGCTGCTGCTCCCCCTGCTGGATGACCGCGTCATGGTGGATCAGGAGGAGCTTTCACCTGACCTCGGTGGGCATGGCTGTGGCAGTGACATTGTCAAGAGGGAGATGATCGCTCACATCTGTGTATGAGGCTGGCTGAGCTACCTAAAAACATCAAGGTGATGAGCCACTCTAGACTGGGCACTTATCACCCGCTCTTTATTTCTGTTTTTACTGTGTGCATGCCATGGACAGGGGACAGGGGCCGCCTGTATTAGCCTGCATTCACACTGATCGCTTTGAAAGAAAAATGCATGACCATTAACCACTTGCCTTCCAGAGGATATCCCCCTTCCTGATCAGGCCATTTTTTGTGTTACGGACGCGAGTTACTTTGACAATTGCAGCGCTGCACCCAAATAAAATTTATGTCCTTTTTTCCCCCACCAATTGAGCTTTCTTTTGGTGGTATTTCATCGCCTGTGCGGTTTTTTCTTTTTTGCGCTCTAAAACAAAAAAAGACAGACAATTTTGACAAAAAAAAAACAATATTTTTGACTTTTTGCTATTAAATATGTCCAGTAAAAAAAAAAATCAAATTTCCTCATAAATTTAGGCCAAAATGTATGTCTTTGCTAAAAAAAATCCCAATACGTGTAAATTGATTGGATTACTTAAAAGTTATAGCATTTACAAATGGCAGTATAGATACTGGGAATTTGTTTTGGGGTTTTTTTACTAGTAATGGCAGCAATCAGCAACTTTAGCGGGACTGTGGCGGGCATTCTGACACTGGGGAGAACTGACCTGGTGTCACTGACATCCTCAGTGACACCAATACAGTGATTAGTGCTAAAAAAAAAAGCCCTGACACTGTACTGAGAGCACTGGGCAGGAAAAAGTCAACAAGAGGGGCAATCAAAGGGTTAACTGTGTGCTGTTTCACTGTAAGCTTTGTGTGTGTGCTTCACTGTAACCACACTGCTTTGGATGGCTGTGCTGTGCGCTGGAGCTGACAGGGAGGAGAACTGTATTGTTTACATACAGTTTTCCTCCCCATCGGCCAGGACCTGGTGATTGACAGCCATGGCCGCAAATGGCGGTGCAGGTAGGGCACACGCAGCCCCTACCCAGTGATGTGTTTTGGCTTTGTGCTGCCCTAGGCAAGACTAAAATCGCCCCCCCCCGCATCTAAATTTGTCCCACCCCTTCCTGTTTAAAATCCACCCCTTCATCTGTAAACCCCACACCTTCCTATTTATGCTCCACCTCTTCCTATTAGAGCTCCACCCACTGACAACGATGGGCACTATTCATCCCACTGACACCAACGATGGGGCACTATTCCTCCCACTGTCACCAATAATGGGGCACTATTCCTCCCACTGTCACCAACGATGGGGCACTATTCCTCCCACTGACACCAACAATGGGGCACTATTCCTCCCACTGACACCAATAATGGGGCACTATTCCTCCCACTGTCACCAACGATGGGGCACTATTCCTCCCACTGACACCAACAATGGGGCACTATTCCTCCCACTGACACCAATGATGGGGTACTATTACTTCCACACTGACACGGACCCACTTACCGGACAACCTCTTTATCCCTCCTCCTCGTGGACCAGATCGACGTGGGACTGGGACACGGAGTCGCGGACCCAGGCAAGACACAGCAGCCCGCCCCTGTACTAAGTGTCCCTTCCGTGGGATGGGGGGGGGGGGTCGGCGGCGCTGTCGCTGCACCCCTAAAAAGTGCTGCCCTAGGCGAACTCCTTTTTTGCCTCGCGGCAAATACGCCCCTGCTCCTACCCAGAAATGCAAAAGCACATATGTATACAGTCAGCAGTTACTAAAAATTGTAGCTGCCAACTTTTAAAAAACAGCCACTCACCTGTCCCTCGATTCAGTGGTGTGCTCACTGCAGCCGGTTTCACCGACTATCCTGTTTTCCCAATGCCAGCATCTTAAAGTGGAGTTCCACTAAAAAAGTGGAAGCTCTGCTTGTTTGCTTCTTTCCCCCTCCACTTCCCTATTTGGCACCTTTTTGGGGGAGGGGGGCCTGTTTTTGACACGTACCCGCTCCAACTTCAGGCTCAGTTTGCCGCAGCGAAGTGAATAAGAAGTTCAGCCCCCTCCTCCCTCCCACAGTTTCCTGGGAACCTTCACAGGTCCCAGAAGACTGCTGGACCAATTAGGAGGTGCAGTGCTACACACGCATGCGCAGTGGTCACCAGGCTGTGAAGCCGCAAGTTGTCACAGCCTGGTGCCCACAGTAGAGATGCCAGCGCTGTGGAGGAGAGAAGTGACTGCATGGGTGAGAACATCGCTGGACTCTGGGACAGGTAAGTGTGTGTTTATTAAAAGTCAGCAGCTACAGTTGTTGTAGCTGCTGACTTTTAATAAACACAAAAACGTCTGGAGCTCCGCTTTAAGTCACTGCTCATACCACACAAAAAACACATGCATTTTTACTGCGTTTTTGCAGCTGAGCAGTGTGAAAGCAGCCTTAGTCTACATGTCATGTCATGACACACTCACCGGCCACTATATTAGGTACACCTTGCTAGTGCCAAGAAAATATCCCCAACACCATTACACCTCCACCACAATCCTGATCCGTTCATACAAGGCAGGATGGATCCTTGCTTTCATGTTGTTTATGCCAAATTCTGACACTACCATCTGAATGTCACAGCGACCAGTCTGCCCATTCTCCTCTGACCTCAACAAGGCATGTTTGTCCACACAACTGCCACTCGCTGGACATTTTCTCTGTGTTGGACCATTCTCTGTAAACCCTAGAGATGGTTGTGCGTAAAAATCCCAGTAGATCAGTTTTTTAAATACTCAGACCAGCCCATCTGGAACCAAAAACCGTGCCACATTCAAAGTCACTTAAATCCCCTTTATTCCCCATTCTGATGCTCAGTTTGAAATTCAGCAAGTCGTATTCACCACATCTAGATTCCCAAATGCATTACCAGCCCCTTCCTTTTCTGAATGAACACAATGAGTGATCAGTACCGATCACTCAGCGTGTTCATTCATAGCAAGCTTAGTAAACTTTTTTTTTTTTTTGGGGGGGGGGGTTTGACTGTATGGGGCCCCGTTTTTTTCTAACAGCAGCCCTGGCGATGGGAGAAGACCCCCTTCTAGCTGTCACAATGGGGAATCCTATGGACATATCTGATCACCTGATAAGGTAAAAGGCCAATCACAGCGGCCTTTTACCATGTGACCAGCTGTGTCCAATGACAAAGCAGATCACTGGTTATCGGCAGCACTTTCCTCACGCTGTCATAATGTGAGGAAAGTACTGCCAATAACCGGCAGCTGTCACAGAGCCCTGATGATCAGTGCCCTGCAGAGCCACTCAGCAGTGCCACATATCAGTACCTTCTCATCAGTGCTCATCAGTGCAGCCTATCAGTGCTGCCTATCCATGTCACCTCATCAGTGCTGCATATCGGTGCAGCCTCATCAACGCACATCAGTGAAGGAGAAAAATTACTTGTTTGCAAAATTTATAATAGAAACAAAAAAAAATTTAAATTAAATACCACCAAAAGAAAGCTCTATTTGTGTGGAAAAAAATGATAAAAATAACATATGGGTACAATGCTGCATGACTGCACAATTGTCATTCAAAGTGCAACAGCGCTGAAAGAGATGGTTGCTGGTGGGCTGAGTCAGCCCCTGTCTTACATAGCTTGGACAGATCTTCCTGACTCTGTTTACCTGGGAGTTTGTTCTTCTATTGCATTTCTTGTGATGTAAAATCCAGCAAGGACTGTAGGATCCTTTGATAATGGCTGCAGCAGGAGCACAGACCCACGAGCTGTGGAAACTCATTAATAGATCTCGAGAATTGTATGAAGTTGTTGGGTGGTTTAGCTCTTCTGTATCTGCTGAACACTAAACTATCAGTTTTGGGTGTCTGGTCTTTAAAATACTGAGTTTGATTACACATGCTAATGTTTTTTAGGTTTTTTTTTTTTCATTTTTGTTTACAGACAGTGCCATTAAGTGTCAGTGTGACTCCTTTAACCCTTTGTTTTTAAAATTTTAAGAGAGCCACCACACCCAAAGTATTATTCACAATCTTGCTAGGAGTTACCTCATGATACATGCCTTGACACATCAGCATGCTAATGCAATCATATATCTCATTATACACAAGTTTCATGTGAAAAAGTAGAACAAAACTGTATTTGCAGTAAACGAGTGTACATTGTTTACTTTTGTTTATTTTTTAGTAATTGGAAATATTCCTAGCTTTAGTTTATTTTTTTTTAAACCCATTTTAATATCCTAATGGAACCCTGGACTTTTTTTCTGTAGTAGCCAGGTCCATGGGGTAGTTGCCCAACGCCAGGCCGATTTAGCAGGTTTTTCATGTGTGTTTGATGGGAGAACAGGCATTGGTTGCATCTGTGTTGTGTAGTCTCTCTCCTATGTCACAATGTGACAGAATATTATGGTCTCACAGAGAGTAAACAAACTGGCCTGCATTTTAGCTCTGATTCTGAGCTATTCAGAGTATAATGGCACCTGTGATTTTATTAATTTTGCAACTACAGCAGCCAAGTGTAGATGATGGAAGCCAAAGGGCCCATTTACACCAGAACAATGTGCGCTGCAACACTCATTGCTTTTGCATTAAATGGCACATTCAGAATTAATGGAATGAAACACACAGCAATGCTTGTGAAAATGAGAAAGGCTGCATAGGACACTATGAGGTGTGCTGGCACTCTTTCAGGGCACCTATTCAGGAGTAATGGGGTGCCATTTATAATGAAAGGAACAACAGCGCACCAATACATGTAACTTGCGTTGCTGCATGTTACCACAGTGCTGTGGTGTGAATGGAGCCAGAATTAAAATGAAAGCAGTTCCCCTTTAGTAAAAATGTGCATGACAGTAACATCACACTAACCAAACATAGGTTGGGACTAGAACTGTGTGACAGTTCTATGCACACCAACACATCGCAGGCATTACCACAAGGACACCGTGGACAATGTACTTTGAAATGCACATTTTTTACCCATTTTTCTTATGTGCCTTTGGTGCAATGTATCCATATGAAGAAATGTTATTTTGTTATTGAATGCTATTTCCTTGTCAGGTATGAATACAGCTAGGGAAATGCACCAGGCAATATCTAGCCTGTAAGACAGGTAAATGGTGTTTGCTGAAATTACCATGGTTGTGACAAATTCTGATTGCATATCAGTTTTCAGTAGTGTTCATCAAATCTCTACAACAGTGGCTGCTTTTTAAATTACTCACCTGACCTTTAACATCATTTACCCTCCTCAGGCCATATGATGTCCAGCCTGTGGCCCACAATGACTGTGAATGCAGCCCAACACAAAATAGTAAACTTATTTAAAAATGTAGATTTTTATTTATTTGTAAAAATGCATTTACACCTAGAGAACTCAAGAAAACTATGACAGTGTCTCTTTACTAGACTTTTATAAGTTTTAGCTTCCTAAATACAAAATCTCCTACTCTTTACAATCGGCCCTTATTCATGTAATCAAAAGGTTGGACACCCCTGCTGTACATTATATAAACATCTTAGACTTAAAGTTAAAAAAAAGCTCACGGCTGCAGCTGTAATCTTTTTAGTCCTGCAACTTTGAGCAACAGTGATTCCGGTGGCTCTATCCCTTTTCATGTACAGTACTGTAGGGCTGCCGAAAGCATAAACCCCTGAAGCTTCCATAAAGAGGATCTGTCACTTGCTTGTTAGCCCCCTTCTGATAACAGTAAAGTTAAATTAAGTGTTACAAAGAAAATTTTATAAAATATATTTTAGAAAATTGTAACTACAGCCCCGCACAGACACACTCAAATGCAAATGTGTACGTTAGTTAACCGCAGTTGTACCACACATGTGAGTTATCATAAATGTTGGAATGATATAATAACACTTTTAAAGAATCACGTATGCACAATTTTGCGTACTGTAGTCTTTCATCATTTGACGAGCACACGCAAATAAAGACTGGACAAATTTGGTATTTACTTAATTGATGCAACCCCATTTCTCATCTTGTTTGTGTGCAAGATAATTTATTTTATTATTATTATACAGGGTTTATATAGTGCCAACAGTTTTCTCAGCGCTTTACAATATAAAGGGAGACAATACAGCAACAATACAGTTCAATACAAGAGGGTTAGGAGGGCCCTGATCTTGGGAGCTTACAATCTAAGAGTTTTTAGTGTATTGTTTCCTGAAAATATACTGTAGATATGATAAACATTTGCACAAATATTGTGTGACAAAGAATTGCAATCTGCTTTCAGAAAAAAATTGTAACCACTTCACATCCTTAGGCTTTTTTAAAACATCCTGGACTTTAATGTTGCATATCCTCTCTCCGATTAGATGCATGAGAGATTACATGCAAGTGGCACCAGTTAGCTGCGAGAGCTGGCAGCCTCCTATTGCTTTCAATGGGGCTTCCTCTCACAGCTAATAGTTGGGGTTCTTGCATCTAATCGGAGACAGGTTGCATTTGTAGGTGTAAATGCACCCAAAGGTTGTTAAAAAGCTCATGGCTTTTTTTCAGCTGGCAATTGGCTGTTCAGTAAAAGTGCGGCTATAGAGCAACCCGATCACCTTTACAGTAGTGAGAAGCACTATCTGTGATTGATTAGCTGTATTTGAGGGTAGGGGAGACATTGGGGGTCTAATATACCCTTGATGTCTCCATAAAGAATAGGTGTCACCTGCCCATGTTAACACTTAGGGAGCTCTCGTTAGCCCCCTTGAGATAGCACAAAAGGTATATGAAAATTGTTTTTTAAAAAGTGTAAAAAATAAATTGAAATAAAAATCTAAAAGCATCACTGCACCATCATCCCCCCCCCCCCAAACATGCATGAAAATGCAAACATATACATAGTTCCCACACATGTATGCAAACAGAGATTGCACCACACGAGGTATTCTGTGAAATTCTGTGTGAGTGAAATCATTCTAGAACTGTAGTTAACTCTAAAACTGGTAATTCATAAAGGCTTTTAAAGTGTCCCTTTTTAAAATTTTAGCTAATGCAGTTTTTTTTTTTTTTTTACTGCACTGAATTTTGGATTGGATTTTATATTGTGTTTGTGTGCACTAAAATTCAGTTTATTGCACTTTTCTTATCATGCAACTTAAAATGTATAATGTTTGGGGGTTCTAAGTAATTTCCTAGCAAAAAAGCTGATTTTAGCATGTGTGTAAAAAGCAAAATTAAAAATTGTAGTAGACACAGAGTGGTTAACGTGTGAAAAATGAACAGAAAACCCTGGATGCAAAGTGGTTTAAAGAATCTTGTTGCCAGACCATTCATTTCAACAACAATCTTTCCATAACATATGTGTAGTAAATGTATTTTATGCATGTTTTTTACCTGCAGTCTTACAGCTGTCACTCAGTTGACACACTCTAGTATTTCCCTTAATTCCAGAGAGCAGCAGCTTTGTAAAAGGCTGAGAAGGGTTGGGTGGAGTAGCTGGACTAGCACAGACTGTAATTAGACACTCCCAGAAAAAGAGAGAGTACAGGGGGGGGGGGGGGGTTGTGCTAATTGATTCTTTCTGGAGTTGTCAAATTTTTGGAAAATTCAGAGGCAAATTGAAAAAAGGGGGATGGGTGCTTATAACAGCTGTAATTCCTAAACCTTTCCTCCAATTTGGATGCACATACCCTCAAATTAAACCTGAGAGTGTGCACTTTCACCAATGTAACATACCTAATCCCATGAGAGTGTAATCAGATGGGTAGATCAGGAGCAGTGTGTTTGTACCTGGTGAAGGGGGTTGTGTTTAAGTGTCTGGCATTTATGAAATATCTTTGTTGTAGGACTAACTGTTACTGCAGTGAAAGACTCTGGTGAGTGGAATCTGGAGGCTGGTGCACTGGTCTTGGCAGATGGAGGTTTGTGCTGCATTGATGAATTCAACAGTATCAAGGAGCATGACCGTACCAGTATCCATGAGGCAATGGAACAGCAGACAATCAGTGTTGCCAAAGCTGGGTAAAACTCTTAAGATGAATCCTTATTGTATTACTAAAATATCTTCCTGCCTATGCCACAAGGTTATGCGTTACATCATACATGCTGGCTGATACACCTGTGGCCTGCAGCGTATGGCCAAAATCGTGCTGGTTCCCAGAGCACTGTGGGAAAAAGTGGTTTGAATATGGCTGTCATTAAAGTACACCCTTCTCAAACTACCAGAGATACAGACTTCTAAAGTGCAAACTATACCCACTTTATTCCAGCGATGCGCCATCCCAGAACACCCGTGGGTCTTGATTGCTGTCCGCTGTGATTGTTCAGGCCAAGATGGCGTTAATCCCATGCATGTGCAGGAGTTCTATGAGCTTCAGCATTGCCAAATTTGTGCAGAGCACTGCATGTGCACAGCTCACCATACAGGAGCGGACAGGCAGGTATGTAGCTGTAATGCAGAAGAGACAAAGCATGTCTCTTCTCCATTAAAAATGCTGCCTGTCCACCCATTTTCATTTCCTGTCATAAAGTTTCACTATAACATTTCACCTATAATTAATTTATATTTCTATTGCACATTTCTCTCTGGGGACTCAAAGTACTTTATCTGCTGTTGAGGCAAATAATGAGGCAGCCATCTTGGTGAACTTGGTAGAACATCATACTGGGGCCAGTTTTCAACAGAAGCCATTTAATATACCAACAAGTCTTTGGACTGTCAAAGGAAACTGGAGTACCCCAAAACAAATCCACAAAACACAGGGGTAGCATGCAAATACCATGCAGGAAGTGTCCTGACCAGGATTTAAACTGAGAACTCAAGTGCTGCAAGGAGGAAGTGCTAACCCACGGCGCTGCAGTGGCACAGCAGAGGAAAGTGAATAAAGAAAAGACACCACTTGTTTCAAACCAGCCCAGGGCACTAAACATGTAAATGTAAGAAAAAAAATAAATATAAACACACACGCGTGCACACACAAATAGACCCTGGGTTATAGGCTCATACCTCCAGGTGATTAGATACTGACAAAGCTTTTGGAGACATTCACTCTGAGCACCTTCACTATAAACCTTACTCTAGTCCACAAGTTTTGGATGGTGCTGTAAGGTGATGAACTTCTTTTCTTTATAGAGAAATCTTTCTTAGCTTAACTAGTTTACTTTATCTTCAGATTCTTCAAAGAATTCTTTACTGTTTTCTAGTACCACAATAGGAGGAGTACATCTTGATTGACGCAACTTTGGTAAAACCTTGGGAGCAGACCCCACACCACGGAGAAGGCCTGTATTGTTGCTTCAGGTTCTAGAACCTGCGCAAGCCCTTACCTCGGCACTTTGTGCAGTGTATATAGTCAACTGCAGGGTGCTGTCTAGGGCCATGGGCCTTACCTATGGAACCCAGACCCTGAAGACCCCCTTGGGGGTATGGACCTAGTGACAGGCAAAGCCTGGATTCCATATATGGTCTAGCGTCATGGACGCTAATAATCCTAATTCTAAAGCACAGGACAAAGGACTTGCATTCATAGGCCATGGGTAATATTCTGCCACCATCATGTAACTTGTCACCGTGAAAAGGTTTTCATGGGAATGCCACCAGTACATCCTTATATGACCCTCTCCCGCTTCAACTGACCCTTCTATCAAGTTCCAACTGCTTCTTGCCTCTGGGCTCACGAACAGTTTACTAATCAGTTACCCTTAATGTACACCTTGAGAATTGTACCTGGACCCAGCATTGGGACCAGCAAGTAATGTATGCAGTGGGCACTGGATCCCACTTTTGGTACTCATCTTGGCACATGGTACAATTAATGTAATTCGCCTCAAGGTGCTGTACAGGTCCAGGACCGTGGTCCATTTATTTGGCACCCAGACCCTGAAGTCTAGTTTTCATGTATTTATGAACAAGTTGCAATATGCCTTCCAACCAACTGCCCGCCATTTCTGCTGAGAATGCAAGAGCATATCGGCTGATCTCTGGACTGCCTGCTTTTCCAGAGACACCGCAACAGGACCATGCCTGAGTTATGGCTGTTTGTTTCCTGGACATGCAAATGCCCTCCATATCCATCTTGTGTGTACCTCACCAGGGGGTTCCCTAAACTAGCAATAGCGCAGACTAAGCGCAGAGGAGCTAGGAAAAAATGGCATAATAGCATTCATGCCACAGACGGCACTGAGGTAAACCAGCAAAATGCTGTTGTCTCTCTGCACTACAGGAAAATCGTTTATTGACATAGCTCCCTTCCTCTAGTTTTAAGTTTTCTCTCAGGCCTTCATGAGTAGACCTATCTGACTAGGGCAGATCTTTACTGTTCTGGAATTTTCTGTTTCCAGGACCAAAAAAGTGTTCTGCCTCTACACCACCTGAATCTGTTCAGGATATGACTCTGGACCACCTAACCTCTGAAGAAGATTTAGAGGCAGGAGAGTGGATGCAGAAGAGGATCCTGCAGAGGAATTTCTATCTTCTGCATGTTATGCAACTCACTTACTGTGAGCTCACTTATTAATGCTGTATGTATTATCCTTTGTCTAGTAACACTGGAATCTACTCAGTCTAAACAAGCTTCTATGGACACAAATTGGCTGACAAAATCTAGAAAGATTTTACCCTTGCACGCACAAACTAACTGTGCATTGCACGAGGATTGGCCAAATCCTGAAAAGGTATCCCTTTCATCAAAATTGAGTTGTATCCTATTGAAAAGGAATTTATGAAAAGATTATCTTTCCCGGTAGTGGATCCTGCAATTTCTGTTCTCAACAAACATCTCCCTGTTGTGGTTGAGAAGATTCCTTTTTGTAAGAATTCTGTCGATAGATTCCCTAGAAACCTATTGAAGGCAATCTATGTTCTTGCTGGTCCTGCCTTACAACGGCCATTGCGACTATATCCATTTGCCAGACTCTTGCTAACTGGGCTGGATAAATGAATACAAAACACAATTCTGTGTTTGAGGACCCTGCTCGGTGGGAACAATTGCAGCTAATGTCCTCAGTGCTACTATTTTGTGTTGAAGTTCTAGAAAATGTACTTCAACAGGGCTGTAGGATGACATTGCTTCCTGTGGACATGCACAGAATTTTGTGTTTAAAGGCTTGGTCAGCTGAACGTGCTTGCAAAGGGGATAACAAAAGTTGGGTAGTCCTGGATGAAGCAAGCATTATTCTTTCCTAGGCAGAGAACCACATTCCAACTCTCTGCTATCTATGTACCAGGAGTGGAAAGATGACAGCGGACTTCCTAGATCACCAATGCCTGGGCTCAGGGGAGTGGTCCCTCCACCCAGAGATCTGGGGAAATGGGGAACACTACATGTGGACATTATGGCCTCCAGATTCAACAAAAAAAACTAGACAGGTTGTGGTCAGGCCAGGTATCCTTGGTGATTCCTTGGTATATGCATTCCCTTCAGCGAGGATTCTTTGACTATGCTGTACAAATATACACAGACTCCTGGAGGACAAGCCTTGGCCTCTTCCAAACAACCCAGAACACCTCTCTCAAGGCTCTCTGTTCCATCCTGCATCTCACTTGCTGGCTTTAAAGACATGGCCATTGAAACCCAGGTACTTAAAGCAGAGTTCCACTCACCCTGTCAAAAAATAAGAGTCAGCAGCTTCATAAACTGTAGCTGCTGACTCTTAAAAAACAGCCACTTGCCTGTCCCTCGGTCCTGCGGTGTGTCCCCCGCAGTCCGTTTCACGGCCGTCCTGTATTCCAGGAGGCCAGCATCTTCAGTGTGGGCACCCGGCTGTGACTGCTTGCGGCTTCACAGCCGGGTACCCACTGCGCATGCGCGAGTAGCGCTCGCTTCATGATTGGTCTTGTAGCCTTCTGAGACCTGTCACGTGTCCCAAAAGACTACAGGGAGGAGAACACCTTCCGCTTCCGATCGCCTAGGTGATCGGACCAGAAGTGAGATCGGGTACCTGTCAAATTTGGGTACCCACTCCCCCACCCCCCAAAGGTGTCAATCCTTAACGGGAAGCGGGTGAAGCAGTCCTTAAAGCGGAACTTCCCCTTTTGGGTGGAGCTCCGCTTTAAAGGATAGGGGCATTTCTGACTATGTCATCCCACCATACTCAAGGCGAGAAAAACTGCCTCTCGTAGGACCTACCATTGCACCTGAAAGACATACTTTGGCTGGTGTGAGACCAGACATCTCAACCCCAGGAATATTTTTCGCTGCACATCTTAGCCTTCTGCAGGCTTGCCTGGACCAGCATCTGGCTCTTAGTACTCAAAAGGAACGTGTTTCTGCCTTATCCATTCTATTCCACGTCAGTCCCCCACTTCAACCTCCCGTGTCTTCCAGGGATTCAAATCTGTACTTTCAGTTCTTCAAAGACCTTCCTGTTAAACTGTTTCAGGATATCCTATTGCAAGATTGCACCTTTTTGGTGGTCATTATCTCCGTCAGGCATGTCTCTGAGTTGGCAATTTCTTTTAAGGAACCTTTTCTTAGCTCACATAGAGACAAAGTGGTTCTGAAACCCAGAACCTTTTTACTTCCAAAGGTGGTATCTTTCTTTCATTTCAATCATAATGTCCTACCTTCCTTATGTCCTTCCATGTAGCACAAAAAGGAGATTTAATTCCACTGTCTGAATGTGGTTAGAGTAGTTAGGGTCAAGCATCAAGCGTCTGTTTTGCAGCTTTGCGAGGCCACCACCTGGTCTTCTGTTAATACCTTCTCAACATTTTAACTAGAGGATCTCCAGGCCTCTTCTGATGCAAGCTTCAAATGAAAGGTGTTTCAGGGTGTTATCTGAGTGTTTCAGGTATGTTGACCCTTGTTTTCTATGGACCTGTTTGCTACTGTTTGTTGTTGCCCATCCCTCAGTTTTGCAGTTTTCATGGGAGGACGTCCCATGAGCTATGAATACAAGTCCTGTTCTGTACAATTAAGATAATGGGAAATTTGACTCACCTGTAAATTCTATATTTTTGAGTACAGTACAGGACACAGGTCCCTCCTCTCTGTTCTCTGTTTCTCTAAATGCTTGATACAAAACTGGAGTATCATGCAGTTTGCGGGGTGTTCTACTGGGGGATGTTCTTAGCAAAGCTTTTGCCAGTATCTAATCACCTGTACTGTACAGCAAACTGTATGAAAAGAAAATGACTCGTGTAAAGGCTGCCTTTTTTCCATGTCCATGGTCTGAGACCGCATTTCCAACAATGCGAACAGCCCCTAATTATTTAGGCTCATCAGCTCCTTGTATTTTGGTATTAGTCCAGCTCTGTATTCAGTCATCCAACACTGTGATCCAAACTGAGAGCTTAAATGACATTGGTCATAATATGTGGAGGAAAGAAATGCTTGTACACAGAACAAACGGCAAACATTTTTTTTTTTTTTTTTTTTTTTTTTTTTTTTTTTGGATAAAATGAGGGTGGCTTATTACCTGTGACCATTTTTTTTCTGTCATTTGTCTCCTATTGTCATTTGTCTCCTATTGAGGTGATTTTCACTTCATGACCTATAGCCAAAACAGGAAGTCTTTCCAAAGTTTGGGAATCCCTAGTGTCCCCATTGAAAGATTTCTCCTCCTATTCCTATTCTGGTGACAACCCAAAATATGGGATTTTCTTTTACTTTCACTTTCTTTGACAACGATAAACAGGACAAATAGATCGCATGAATCTCCCTAATGTGGGGACCCATACAGCAATGAAAATCTGACAGGTGTTCTAATCCCTCTCCATTTCATCCAAAAAAATGTAAAAAAAAGAAAAAAAAAAGTTTTGCCTTTAGTTATACTTTAAAGATTGTGCTGCATGGTACAGCTACACAACATTGTCTTTTTTTAAATGGAACCAAAGACAGAGCACGATTTCATAATAAATATGTTACTCTATACCTATATATGTGCATCTTCTTTCTGCACACTACTTGTACATCCCACAAATGCCTTTGTTCTCTTTGATGATAATGATGATAATGTTTACTTTATTTTGCTTTGTCAGGTTGGTGTGCAAATTAAATACAAGAACAACTATCCTGGCTGCAACTAATCCAAAGGGGGATATGACCCAAATGAATCCATCTCTGTTAATGTAGCACTGGCTAGTCCTCTGCTTAGTAGATTTGACCTGGTTCTAGTTTTGCTGGATACAAAAAATGAAGATTGGGACAAAATTATCTCCTCCTTTATACTGGAGAACAAAGGTATAAAATCTGTAGTGCTTTTATAAAAGTATCAAGTTTTTTAAATGGCCTGTTGAAAACAATTGTGTGTTTCATTTTACTGTGGATTTTAATCTTTAGCTATTTTATGTATTAACTGAAGATTGGGTTCTACAGAGAGCCATACATTTTGCAACTTTGAAGAATACTCCAACACATACATTTTCTGTTTTGCTGGTTCCATGAAACAGTGTTATATTTTACCAGTGGCAGTGCTTGCACATTTATAAATAATGTCACTCTTCTCTTTTTATTAGATTGCCACCAGAAATCTGATAAGCTTTGGAGCATGGAGAAGATGAAAACTTATTTTTGCTTAATAAAAGCTTTGCAACCTAAGATGTCTGAAGGAGCCAACATGATTCTAGTGCGCTACTATCAGCTTCAACGACAGAGTGATAGTAGAAATGCAGCTCGTACCACAATCCGTCTACTGGAGAGCTTGATACGGCTTGCTGAAGGTGAGGCTCATACTTGGATGACATGAAAGGACTTCTGCACTGAAATAGTGTTCTGTAGCAGTTAAGCAGACTAAATATTGCAAAAATGTAAACAAGAGAATATCTACCTAAATCAGCATAACTGTCACATTTGAACTGCCAGGCTTAAAGCCCTGGTATCCAGAGAGCAACTCTTTTCTCCTTTTAGGGCTCACTGCTAGCATGCATTTTGGATACTGGGATGTTGAGGCTGTGCTTCATTATGATTTAGAATGTTGCACACCATGCCTCCCTGTATTCTAAGCAACAGGGGGGGTGATGAAACTAATGCTGCTTTCTAGTTTCTAAGGGCTTAGGACTTCAGGTAAGCCAATTGTAAACCGTGGTTTATGATGCTGCAGGTATTGTCAAGCTGGGTTCGTGAAAACGGCACAAAAGTTGCTACGTGGGTGGCCCTGTCGGCCAGCTTCCACTCAACATCCTTTGACTGAAAAGTCAAGGGAGCTGGATGGATAATTGAGAGCTGAACAGTGGCTACATCCACTCTGATGCAGCCACTGTTTGAGCATTCTGACAGCAGCTGGCACCAGTTGTCAGAATACAAAAGCCGTAGTGGGAGATTCCTTGGAACATCCCAGAGCTGTGATAAATTATCTGCTTAAATGTAGTGAATTTCTACATATCCCTGGCCTTATTTGCCAGCCCATCACCAGGTGGTTTTGTTTCTTAGGAACCACTTATGTGAATGTGTAATTCAATACCTTGGACACGCTATGAAAAGAAAACATTTATGAGGATATGGAAACAGTAGCAGAGGATGCTCTTTCATATAGCATTGTAAAGAAGTAGACAGTGAAAAACGAGTGTTGAAGATGACCATCCAAAACTATTTTTCAAGAAAATGTGGATAAGGAGCACAAAATAGCACTGCAAGAAAGACTTTGAGGAGGAGATTACTGGAGCACTCAGAAAGTGATGCAGCTGTGCATGGTAGCCAGTCAGCTTCTAACTTCAGCTTGTTCAATTAAACTTTGACAATAAAACTTGGAAGCTGATTGGTTTCTATGCAAAGCTGCTCCAGATTTTGCACTAGTTTTCGTAAACCCCCCCATAATATTTAGGCAGATTGTTTTTGCCATATCCAGTGTATCAATCATTGATCACTAACTGAAAAAACATCTAGCAGTGACAAAGGTTACTCAGGGTTGTGTCCCAAAGTTCCTTACACATGAACAAAAGTCAACTGGATGAAAAAAGTGATTGGACACTCTTCCTCTGTTTGAAGACAATCAAGCTAAATATTTCAGCAGCAATTTTTATTCGTGAATAAAGCTAGGATATTGAATTAAAATTCAAGGGGGTCCGGTCACTAAAATCTTCTGGCTGGGGTCCGAAAATAAATGTCCCCGTTAGTGTTCCCCCTTATATCAGGTTCCTCCTCCACCATCAGACTTCCCCCATAAATCGATTGCCAACGTCATAGTACCCCCCCCCCCCATATCAGGAATCCCCATCAGAACACCCCTTAAGTAATGTGTTTCCATCAGAGTTCCCACTTACATTGGGAATTCCAATCAGAGTGCCCCATTACATCAGGCATTCCCATCAGTTTCCTATTACATCAGGTTTTTGCATCAGAAGTTACATCTGCTGTCTCCCATCAGTGTATCCCCCTTACATCAGTTTTCCCAATTTAGTGCCCCATTATATAAGGTTCCCCCATCACGGCGACACCTTACATAGGGTGTGCTCATCAGAATGCCCCCTTACATTAGGTGTTGCTATCAGAGTGCAACTTTACATCATGTATCCCCATCACATCATTTGTCCCTAACAGAGTACCCCTTTACATCAGCTATCCCCATCACAGTGCACCTTACATCAGTTATTCCCATCAGAGTGCCCCCTTACACTCAAAGTACCCCTTTCCATATTTCCCCATCAGAGTGCCCCTTTATATCATATTCCCCATCAGAGTGCCCCTTTCTGTCACATATGCCCATCAGAGTACCCCTTTCCACAGTATGTGCCCATATGTGTCCCCTTAACATAACGTGCCCATCAGAGTGCCGCCTTAACATAAAAGGTGCCCATCAGAGTGCCCCTTCACATAAATGTGCCCATCAGAGTGCCCGTTAACCTAAAATAAGCAACATGCTCCTTCAATTGCGGCATTTGTTGATCTCACTGCGGGGCACTTCCGCTTTCCTGTACCAGAAATTTGCCTTTGAACTGCTTTGCCAACAGTGTCCGGGTGCCCCAGTCCTTATTTTCCTCCTTTATGCAGCTTTGAAGAGACGCACGACGCATACCTCTTTCATATGTTGTTTAGTGGTCGCTTATAGCTAAATGTTCATTTAATACGACCATACTGGAGGCGGCATACAAAGTATTGTTTTCTTGGTATTGGGTTCCGGCTCGTTTGGCCCAGGCGAACCCTGCCTGTAGTGATTGATGCTTTTGGGTTGTGTCCATCGTGGTGATGTATTGCATATCTGGAGGTCATGCCCGGGACTGTTTCATTTTTGGTCTTGTGTGTTTGGCCTCCTTTTCACCTTGTTCCATCTCTCCATACGCCAGGATGCTCGGTATGCTTTGCTTTATTGTCTCATACTGGGCCTCTTGGCTCATCAGCAGAAGTTGGCTTCCTATTTGTTTTTGTCGGCCACTAGAACAATTGCTCAGGCCTGGAAGAGCCCATTTGTCCCTCTTCAGGGGGTGCGGGACTGTATGACCACTATGATGCTCAATGAACAGATGTCGAGTATCTGCAACGACTTAAAAAGTGCAGCGCTAAAACAAATGCAGACTAATACTTCCAATCCATAAAACCAGTTGAACTTATCGTAAATAAATAAATCTCAAAATGTAAAAAGTGGTGACAGTCTGTGATAGGTGATGGTTACAGGAGATGTCAGTGACTTTGCATTCCAGGTGGCGAGGTGATAAAATAGTTAAAATATGCACTCACCAGATGCATATCTAATATGCGCATATAATCAATAACCAGAGGTCCCCGGACTCTCCCCCTCTTGGTATTGGTCTAGTCAGTGGTCGTCTCTCTTGGGATAGCCCCGAATACCACCGTGGAAGCCTCTCAGAATTCAGGGCTATCCCAAGAGAGACGACCACTGACCAGACCAATACCAAGAGGGGAAGAGTCCATTATAAGTGGTTCAGCTCATCCATCCCATCCCATGAGGGGGACCTCTGGTTATTGATTATATGCGTATATTAGAAACGCATCTGAGGAGTGCGTATTTTAACTATTTTATCACCTCGACACCTGGAATGCAAAGTCACCGACATCTCCTGTAGCCATCACCTATCACAAACTGTCACCACTTTTTACATTTTGAGATTTATTTACGATTATAAGTTCAACTGGTTTTATGGATTGGAAGTATTAATCTGCATTTGTTTTAGCGCTGGACTTTCTTTTTAAGTAGTTTACGAGGTTTTATTCTGGTTGCCTTTTCGTGCTTTCATCTGCTATATTATCACTAAGCGCTCACTTATTATTTTGTTTTATTCTGTATCTGCAACGACTCCCAATGTAAATTCTTTAAAATATGGGAGCCGTGGTTGCAATATGCCTTTCCCATGCTCCCCCCCGGCTAGTCTGGGATGATGATGTTGTTCGGTATTGGCGTTCTCGAACCCTGCTCTTGGTTTTGTTATCTTTATCTTTTGTACTCCTTGTCAGGAATCGGGGTATGACCAGAAGGGTGTGGACTGACACAGGGAAACGCAGGCTTCAGATATGTTATAAACAATATAATTTATTAAGACTAACAATACAAAACGCAGTGCAAAACTAAACCTAAACACAGTGCAAACAAACCAAACCACCCACAGATAACAATACATACAATGCAAGAGTCGTCAGGCAGGTCGGGTCAGTAGCAAACGGGCAAACGGAGAGTACCAGGAACAGGCGGGAGAGTGGTCGGGGTCACAAGCTGGGTTCAGTAACTCACGGGCAGCGCGGTGCAGAGGGTCAGACAGAGAATGGTCAGGGTCACAAGCCAGGGATCAAACAGGAGAAGTCAGCAGAGGTCAGGATCAGGCAGGGTCGGCAACAAGTCAGACAGAAACAGGAACAGGAATAGAGGATACAAGATACAGGGGCCCATGGAAAAAAAAACACACACCACGGCCCTGACTGTGAGTCTGGCCATTCCTTAAATACAACCCCCGCAATCAGCTTCAGGTGTTTGGCTGATTGCAGGGGTGAGTCTCTGATTGCTGAGAGCACCCGCTGGCCAGCCCTGGTACTGCAGCCCACAAGGCAGGTGAGTCCCACCATTATTGGCAAGTCCATTCCTGACAGTACCCCCCCCCCTCAAGGAGCGGCCTCAGGACGCTCCAAACAGTCCTAGCTGGGCAAAATGTTCCACCGCCCGGGTCCGGTAACTGGCGGGATATCAAAGACTGGCACATCGGGCTGGGCACCGGACAGAGGCACATCGGGCTGGACACCAGACAGAGGCACATCGGGCTGGACACCGGACAGAGGCACATCGGACTGGACACCGGACAGAGGCACATTGGGCTGGACACCGGACAGAGGCACATCATCTGGACACCGGATCAACAGGCGGAGCACCGGGCCACCAGGCAGGGCGGCAGGCACCAGGCAGGGCGGCGGGCACTGGGCCACCAGGCAGGGCGGCGGGCACCGGGCCACTAGGCAGGGCGGCGGGCACCGGGCCCCCCAGGCGGAGGCGGGCGGGCAGGCAGGGGGCCCCAAGGCGGAGCGGCGGGCACCGGGCCCCCAGGCAGGGCGGCGGGCACCGGGCCCCCAGGCAGGGCGGCGGGCACCGGGCCCCCAGGGGGGCGGTGGGCACCGGGCCCCCAGGCGGAGCGGCAGGCACCGAGTCATCTAGCAAGACAGCGGGCGCCGAGTCATCTGGCAAGACAGCGGGCGCCGAGTCATCTGGCAAGACAGCGGGCGCCGGGTCATCTGGCAAGACAGCGGGCGCCGGGTCATCTGGCAAGACAGCGGGCGCCGGGTCATCTGGCAAGACAGCGGGCGCCGGGTCATCTGGCAAGACAGCGGGCGCCGGGTCATCTGGCAAGACAGCGGGCACCGGGTCATCTGGCAAGACTGCGGGCACCGGGTCATCTGGCAAGACTGCGGGCACCAGGTCATCTGGCAAAACAGCGGGCACCGGGTCATCTGGCAAGACTGCGGGCATCGGGTCGTCAAGCTCGACAGCGGGCATCGGGTCGTCAAGCTCGACAGCGGGCACCGAATCATCTGGCAAGACTGCGGGCACCGTGTCATCTGGAAAAACAGCGGGCGCCGGGTCATCTGGCAAGACTGCGGGCGCCGAGTCATCTGGCAAAACAGCGGGCATCGGGTCGTCAAGCTCGACAGCGGGCACTGAGTCATCTGGCAAGACTGCGGGCACCGGGTCATCTGGCATTGGATCGTCTGGCTCGACAGCGGGCATCGGGTCACCAGGCATCAGGTCAACTGGCTCGACAGCAGGCACCGAGTCATCTGGCAAGACAGTGGACACCGAGACATCAGGCACGACAGCGGGCATTGAGTCACCAGGCATCAGGTCGTCTGGCTCGACAGCGGGCACTGGGTCATCAGGCATTGGATCGTCTGGCTTGACAGCGGGCATCGGGTCACCAGGCATGACAGCGGGCACTGGGTCATCAGGCATTGGATCGTCTGGCTCGACAGCGGGCATCGGGTCACCAGGCATCAGGTCAACTGGCTCGACAGCAGGCACCGAATCATCTGGCAAGACAGTGGGCACCGAGTCATCAGGCACGACAGCGGGCATCGGGTCATCTGGCAAAATAGGGGGCACCGGGTCATCTGGCAAGACTGCGGGCATCGGGTCGTCAAGCTCGACAGCGGGCACCGAGTCATCTGGCAAGACTGCGGGCACCGTGTCATCTGGAAAAACAGCGGGCGCCGGGTCATCTGGCAAGACTGCGGGCGCCGAGTCATCTGGCAAAACAGCGGGCATCGGGTCATCAAGCTCGACAGCGGGCACTGAGTCATCTGGCAAGACTGCGGGCACCGGGTCATCTGGCATTGGATCGTCTGGCTCGACAGCGGGCATCGGGTCACCAGGCATCAGGTCAACTGGCTCGACAGCAGGCACCGAGTCATCTGGCAAGACAGTGGACACCGAGACATCAGGCACGACAGCGGGCATTGAGTCACCAGGCATCAGGTCGTCTGGCTCGACAGCGGGCACTGGGTCATCAGGCATTGGATCGTCTGGCTCGACAGCGGGCATCGGGTCACCAGGCATGACAGCGGGCACTGGGTCATCAGGCATTGGATCGTCTGGCTCGACAGTGGGCATCGGGTCACCAGGCATCAGGTCAACTGGCTCGACAGCAGGCACCGAATCATCTGGCAAGACAGTGGGCACCGAGTCATCAGGCACGACAGCGGGCATCGGGTCACCAGGCATCAGGTCATCTGGCTTGACAGTGGGCACCGCATCATCTGGCAAGGCAGTGGGCACCGAATCACCAGGCACGACAGTGGGCTCTGAGTCAACTGGCACGACAGCGGGCACCGGGTCATCAGGTACCGGATCGTCTGGCTCGACAGCGGGCACCGGGTCATCAGACATTGGATCGTCTTGCTCTACAGCGGGCATCGAGTCACCAGGCATCAGGTCATCTGGCTCGACAGCGGGCACCGGGTCATCAGGCACGACAGTGGGCATCGGGTCACCAGCCATGACAGCGGGCACTGGGTCATCAGGCAACGGGTCACCAGGCACAACAGTGGGCTCTGAGTCAACTGGCACGACAGCGGGCACCGCGTCATCTGGCAAGACAGTGGGCACCGAGTCATCAGGCACGACAGCGGGCATCGGGTCACCAGGCATCAGATCATCTGGCTCGACAGCGGGCACCGAGTCATCTGGCAAGGCAGTGGGCACCGAGTCACCAGGCATGACAGCTGGCATCGGGTCACCAGGCACAACAGCGGGCACTGGGTCACCAGGCATTGGATCGTCTGGCTCGACAGCAGGCATCGGGTCACCAGGCATGACCGCGGGCACTGGGTCATCAGGCATTGGATCGTCTGGCTCGACAGCGGGCATCGGGTCACCAGGCATCAGGTCATCTGGCAAGACAGCGGGCACCACGTCACGTCATCTGGCAAGGCAGTGGGCACCGAGTCACCAGGCACGACAGTGGGCTCTGAGTCAACTAGCACGACAACGGGCATCGGGTCACCAGGCACGACAGCGGGCTCTGAGTCAACTGGCAGGATGGTACTGGTTGGAAAGAATTTTCGCTTTTTTTTCTCGTTTTAGTTACTGGAGCACTGTAAGTAAACGCAGGTCTGTAAATGAATGGAGCAGCTGAAGACAGAGAAGAGCTGGAGGATGGAACAGAGGAGGGAGCAGTTGCTACAGAGGACTTCTTTACAGGGTTAAAAAAAAGGATAGGTGCAGCGAGTGGGAGCAGAGGACTGGTATGTGGTAGTTAGCAGAGTATACTGGGCCGTCACTGGGGGTGCTGTCGGGGATGCAGGAAAAGTGCCTTGAGCAGAGGAATGATGTTGCAAGCTGACTGAGGCTGGGTGCAACAAATCTGTCTATGTCTGCAGTACTGGTTGAACAAAACTCAGCTTACACATAGCCTGCTGATCAAAGACTGCACTGCGTTTATGCAATCCATAAGCACATGTGATGGACAAGCTGCATAATGCTCATGGAAGCAATCTGGATCATCCTCCAACAACCATACCAGTGATTCCACTTGATCCACACTAAATGGGGGAAAAAAGTAATTCCTGCTTTCAGGGGTACAGAACCGAGCCAACTCAGCACAAACCTGGATCAATGGCTGCACCTCAGAAAACTCTGTGCCCTGATCTACTAGGCAATGAGCGATCCTTATACACTCTAGTAGTTGATCCCGGGGATACTCCTTCAGAGTCTGATAAGCATAGTCTTTGTCATCAAAGACTAGCAGAGACAAATACACCACCTCATCAAGTTCCATCCTTCCCAGCAACAATAAGCCAAGATGGCTTCCCTGTGCAGCCACTTCTGGTCAGGATTGGGCCGTGGTGTAATGTCAGGAATCAGAGTATGACCAGAGGGGTGTGGACTGACACAGGGAAACGCAGGCTTCAGATATGTTATAAACAATATAATTAAGACTAACAATACAAAACGCAGTGCAAAACTAAACCTAAACACAGTGCAAACAAACCAAACCACCCACAGATAACAATACATACAATGCAAGAGTCGTCAGGCAGGCCGGGTTAGTAGCAAACGGACAAACGGAGTACCAGGAACAGGCGGGGAGAGTGGTCGGGGTCACAAGCTGGGTTCAGTAACTCACGGGCAGCGCGGTGCAGAGGGTCAGGCAGAGAATGGTCAGGGTCACAAGCCAGGGATCAAACAGGAGAAGTCAGCAGAGGTCAGGATCAGGCAGGGTCGGCAACAAGTCAGACAGAAACAGGAACAGGAACACAGGATACAAGATACAGGGGCCCATGGAAAAACACACACCACGGCCCTGACTGTGAGTCTGGCCATTCCTTAAATACAACCCCCGCAATCAGCTTCAGGTGTTTGGCTGATTGCAGGGGTGAGTCTCTGATTGCTGAGAGCACCCGCTGGCCAGCCCTGGTACTGCAGCCCACAAGGCAGGTGAGTTCCACCATTATTGGCAAGTCCATTCCTGACACTCCTTCCTTTTCTTTTTTTTGTTTGTTTTTGGTGTGGCAATGGATAGCTGCCTTTAGTTTGAGTTACTGTCGGTGTTATAATAATGTTTTTGCCATTTAAGTGCCATTGATAGCCCCTGCCTGGGCGCACCTTTTGCTCTGTTGGAGTTAGAGCACTGTTTTTCTAATTTTTTATGTGCAATTGATAGCCCCTGCGTGGGCGTGATTTGTTGCTCCTGTGTTAAACTGTTTAAAAATTTATAAAAGCCATTGAAATACAAAATAGGCAACATGCTGATGGGCACATGTTATGTTAAGGGGCACTCTGATGGGCACATTTATATTAAGGGGCACTCTGATGGGCACATTTATATTAAGGGACACTGTTCTGTTGGCTCCAATCTAAGAATTGATAGTGTGATCTCTAACTTAGTTTTGATGAGATAGCGATAACTTCAACCTCTGATGGATACCAGTCAGCGACTCAATGAGAATGACATCTTGTAGATCTTGTGAAGTTTATTCCCTAAACTGAGAGAATCTTACAACAATGAAATTCCATAGGTCAAAAAAACATGCTGTTTCCTGCTCCATGCCATGAGGCTTACTGCAATGCATCTCTGGGAAGGGGGGAGGGCTATCTATGCAACATTAGCTAAACTAAAGGAAAAGGAGGAGCAGAGACAAAACACTGAAAACATTTAAAGGCATAAGACAGTCAATATGACAGTCATGTGAAACATGACAGGCACGCTGATGGGCACATTTTATGCTAAGGGGAATTCTGATGGGCACATTCTATGTTGTGCCCATCAGAGCACCCCTTAACATTAAATGTGCCCATCAGCATTACCCTTTAACAATAAATATGTCCATCAGAGTGCCCCTTAATATAAATGTGCCCATCAGAGTACACCTGAAAGAACAGACCCTACCTTAAGGGCAAACAGGAGCGGGAGGCAGGAGCTTGCTAGGATCCTTTCTGAAGGGGGTGGGTCGCTCGTTTGTGGACAGGCAGGGAACGGGAACCAGGACAGACAGTGAGCTGCAAGGAGCTGGGGTGCACGTGTGATATCATCTGTTGCCGGGATGGCCTCCCTACTGAGTGGCGGATCTGTAGTCTAGCGAGCTGGCGGTCCTGGCCGGAGTGCTTCTTGAGCTGTTCTTGGACCGCGGTCCGCCTTTTAGTGACCACTGGAATAACACATTGGCACAGCAATAAAACCCAAACTTTTTACAACAGAAGCATACTGGGTCACCTAATTCAAAGAAGGTGAACTCTGTTGCTTGTGCTTGAAAGGTGATGGCATCAAATTTGTGATATATAGAGTGGGTGATGGTGGTGGATTGCTTTACAAAGGCCAAACTATCAAATAAGCATACTTTATTAGCCTACTAGGGAAATGTCAACCAAATTTGCTGCAGTGAATGCCTGTTATAGTCAAAGTGGCACTTTATTTTAGGTGAAGTGGTACAGAGGTTTGAAATACACTTCCAATCGGGTGGTTTCTGAATTTACTATACAAACAGTCTTTTTGAATAAACGCTAACAAGTAAGATGCTAAGTAGAAGGTGCAGTGGCCCATATCAACCAGGCATAATACATTTAATAAAGCCAAATTGGTAGAAGATGGACTCTGGCTGATTGATTTAAGTACTGTATTTGTAGCTTGTGCTATGTTTCTTGCATAATATTGCAGAATAATGTTGAATACTTGGCTTGACAATTCACAAATGTGTAGATGGTAAAAATACTGTTTTTACATTTTTGATGTCTTATTCCCTGTGGTCTGACTCTAAAACTGAAATATAGCCTATATTTCTTCATATACAGTCATCCAGCGTGAGAGGGAAAGCACCACCATGGGACTTGTAATTACTGCAAACTAAAAAGTGCTTATTCCCCACAATAATCTATAACATTATGAAAGTGCTAAACACAGTAGAGCTTTCTTGAAAAATAAGTTATTAGCATGTCCTACTTCCATCACAGAAACAATAAAGAAGGAGTTGATTCCTCAGGATAGTGGGCAAAGAAAGGCGTGCCTACCTATACATCCAGACCATTGGAATATAGTACAGATGCAGCCTAATATTCTGCCTCCATTTATTTCTAACTGCATATGTCTGTTTAAGCCTAGCTGGCCATCATCTATGCAGTGTGTATAGGAACCATAATTTCTGTGGAGAAGGACTAATTAAGAGGAGGTGCTTTTGGTTACCTTAATCCATGACATGTCTGCTTGCCCTGTCATTATGTGAGTGCACACAGCAGTTGTCACTGGTGGGAAATCAGTGTTTTTCTGTTTACATTTTAGTGTCAACGGTCTCTAGTATATTCATGTGTGTTCTGCCTGTCTCTCTGCAGTGACTAGATATTTGAAATGTGCTCTGAGCATGCTCATTCCATTTGCAGTGTACTGTAAGTGAGGGTGGCCCACTGCCTTTGCTTTTTTAGCTTGCAATCTATAAAGACTCCATTTATACCACTGAAGGCTCAAGATGACAACAAAGGAAGAGAGAAACAGACACAGAAGGAGAATGTAATATTGCTATGAAGAGTATATGGGTAGAGTGAAACACTCAAGAGGAGAGCTGAGAGGAAGGTTGTGCATAAGGGTGTAAGGACTTGTGTTTATGATCTTTAGGCTTTTGTCAATGGCACCAGTTTGATATCCATTAGAGATGTATCTGAGATCATTCCGAATGCATTGTAAGGTGCATTTTACATGCAGATAACCTCCATTTGACCTACTTCAAGAGGGTTTTGCATTCCTATAGACTTGTATGGGAATGCAATACCCATTTGACATGAATGAAAGCCCTTGGTACAGGCCCTAAAGCTTACTGTGTGCACAAACACTCCACTACTGCTGATAGGAAAGAGAAAGTACCTTGTATCAATGTACCAATGTAGAGCTGGGAGGGAAACTGAAAATGATTGCATTCCATAAGTTATATGCTTTCTTTAATTATACAGCTGAGGAAATATGATTCAGCAAGGTGTTCTACACTATGTGTAATATAGAGATTCATTTTACAACTATATCTGTTTTTCTCCAGCCCATGCAAGATTGATGTATCGAGATGTTGTGACTATAGAAGATGCTATCACGGTGGTATCAGTAATGGAATCATCTATGCAAGTAAGTATATTAGTTAAAGGAGTTCCATGCTCACATCATACACACATTTTTTTTGTATTATCAGCATTGTAATAGCAATACAATATAAACGTGGAAAATCAAATTTCATGTTGAGATTTCTGTTTGTCTGCTGACTATCTCTTTCCACAACTTCCTGGGTTCCCTGCATGCTTTGCAGCTTCTCCTCTGCTTTACTTTCAATTTCTAAGCACTACATAGCCCATAGTACTTTGCTGCCTGTAAGCAATGATTCCTGTACTGACTCTTCTCAGGACATCAGTAGTTCACAAGGTAGGCTGTGTGTAATGTGTGACACAGCAGTGACTACAAACAGGGAATAGTTATTTACGTGTCACAGAATTCAAGTAAGTAAATGTGTTAGGATCTTTCAAGTAAGTTTACAAACCTCAAGATCATTTGGATTAATAAGAATAGCCTTGAAATATTTTTACTTTCAATTTGTTTTATTAAAGTTTTAACATAATACAACAAATAACATCATCAAATTTAAAAAATGAGTAACACAGGATAACAGAAGATAAGGCGCCCATATAATAAATGCATAGGGGTGCATACATTCCGCAAGTGTCTAGCTACAACAGCTAAATTCAAAGAAATCAAAGAAAAACAATGTTCAACATCCCCTATATATCACTTTACAATCTTCATGAAAGGGAACCTCTGGTACCAGATACCTCGGGTGCCTGCTTCAAATACTCCTTAAGACTGGTAACAGACTATCGGAGAAAAGGGAGAAGAAGAAAGAAATAGAAAAAAAAAAAAGAGAGTCAGACAGAAATACATGTATGTAGCATGATGACCAAGTGACTTACATTCCTTGTCCCTACAGAGCAATTATAAAGTAATTTTCATAAAATCCGCCCAGGGTTCCCAAATATTTTCAAATCTAGCCACGGTATCATGACGTATACTAACAGCATGCACCATAATCCAAGTGATCTTCTTCGCCTGGGCCACAGAAACGAAGAGCTGCTTCCATGCCCTAGCAATGGTCATCTTTGCCCCCCAGCAGAACAAAGAAAATCAAGTGTTGTAGATGTTGAGGGGCATCCTTTACCCTTGCATTAAGCAGAGCCACTGAAGGAGTCTGAGGAATGGATAGCCCCATAACTCTACATAAAATAGCGAATACACCATTCCAAAAGCCTCTCAACTGTGGACATTCCCACCATACATGAGACATGGATCCATTCATGCCACATCTCCTAAAACAGAGAGGAGAAGCCAATGGATACATTTTAGCTAGCTGTATGGAAACCAAGTACCAACGGGTAAGTAGTTTAACATTAGCTTAGTACCAGAGTATGATTTTAAAAAAAACATTTGTGCCAGACCTCAAACTCGACCTCCTCCCCAAGATCTTGTTCCCAGTCAGACATATAAGAAAACTTGGAAGGAGAAGCCAGTAGTAGTCCATTTTTGAGAGAGATACCAGTGTCCTGTGTGCACCATTTTTCGTACGGAGAGACCCCACATTGTTCCGAATTACTGGGTATGAGGGACCACAAAAAATACGAGATCTGAATAAAACTAAAACATTCCATTTGGGGCATTTCTAAAACCTCGACACAATAACGCAACGTAAAGGGCCCTCTATGGGTAAAATGCTGTCCAATCCGATATAACCCCTTGTTGAGCCACCATTTAAGTGCCTTCATATCCTGTCCCAGCGAAAAGTTTGAATTATGAATATATGAGCTAGCGGGCAAAATGGGAAGACCAATGCGGAGTTAGCCGTGAGCTTGTCCCATAGTGATACCGATTGAGATCGGGTTGGAGTCAATATTGGCGGGCGATTCCGAAGGGGACACCAAAGTAAATAGTCTAATGTAAAACCGGGGACTGCCATCCTTTCCATATAGACCCAATCTGGTGTATCACTTCTCCTATACACCACCGAAAGTTGGGCCAATTGAGCTGCCTGATAATACCTATAAAAGTCTGGGAGTCCCAGCCCACCCTGGTCTTAGGACAGAAGAGGATCTTTTTAGCAAAAAGACGGCCCTTGTTGCCCCAAATAAATCTAATTACAAAAGATTGGAATTTCTCCAAGACCACACGTGGGATAGGAATGAGAAGAGACTAAAAGTAATATAGACGTCATGGGAGCAAGGTCATTTTAACAGAATGAAGTCTGCCCAGCCAGGAAAGAGTATGAGTCGACAACATCTGGAGATCTGCCTCAAGCTTATGCAAAAGTGGCGGATAATTGAACTCATAAAGAGATTCCATAGTGGCCATCAGCTGTACACCCAGATATGGGATATGAGAGTCACTCCACTCAAAGGGAAATGAATCCGAAGTTAGGCAAGCAATCCTGGTGGGACAGAGACATTCAGAGCCAGTAACTTGGTCATATTAACCTCTAAACCTGACACCCTGCCAAACTCTCGTAATAGGCATATCACCTTAGGGGTGGAAGTCAACAGAGAAGTCAAAAACATCAGAAGGTCATTCGCAAACAATGTGCATTTGTGTTCTTGTGGACCACAGCGTACCCCTCGGATATCAGGGTCCAACCGAACTTCCACTGCGAGGGTTTCAATAGCCATAGCAAAAATTAAGGGAAATAAGGGACGTCTCTGCAGTGTACCCCGAGCAATCCTGATTAACTGAGAGTACTGTCCCTGCAAGTGAACGTGTGCCAACGGGGAAGAATAAAGAGTCTGTAGTATGCCTAAAAAATGTGGATCGAACTCTCAAACTTCCAAGGTCCTAAAAAGATAGGGCTAAGACACTGTGCCTTCTGGAAATCTATGGATAATATAAATCCTTCCTGGAGGGGGCCACCATCCCATTGGGATCGCAGCAGGGACACCATGTCCATTGCTCTATGGATCTGGTCCGGTCCCTGTCTCCCTGGTATGAACCCAACCTGATCTTTTATATATATATATATATATATATATATATATATATATAGGCGCCTATGAACGAAGATAGACAATTAGCTAAGATTTTGGTCAGAAGTTTTAAATCATTATTGATCAGCTAAATAGGTCTATAGTTACCCACATATCTGGGATCCTTAGCCAGTTTGGGGACCACAGTGATATAGGCCATGTTCAGAGAGGGGTCTAGAGATTCCCCATCCCGTAGGGAATTAAAGAAACTAGCTAAATTTGGTGACAGGGTGGAAGCAAATTTTTTTATAGTATAGCAAGGAAAAGCCATCTGGGCCCGGGGCAGAGACTCTCTTGGCAAACTTAATTGCCCCAATAACCTCCTCCCCAGAAATAGGGGCCTCCAGCTTAGCCCTGTGGGCCATTGTTAAATAGGGTAAAAGTAAGTCCTGCAAAAAGGCATCAACAGCCTCGGCTTGAAAATATTTTAAATGCAATGTGGAAATGAATATGCAATTTTATATCCTGACCATAAATACACTCTAAACCTAAAATCCATAAAAATAAATCATTTCACCTTTCAATATAAAGCAATTATGCTTTACACCTCTTAATTACATTGGTTTTCATCTTTAAAAAGGTACAATACTGGTAATGTATATCATACAGTAAAAGCTCTAGTCAGATGAGACCAAAATTGAACTTTTTGGCCTAAAAGCAAAACGTTAAGTGTAGTGAAAAACTAACACTGCACTTAACCACGGACACACCATCCCCAACATGAAACGTGGTGGCGGCATCGTGTTGTGGGGATGCTTTTCTTCAGCAGGGACAGGGAAGCTTGTTGATGAGAAGATGGATGGAGATGGGGCGGAGGTTCACCATCCAGCAGGACAACGACCCTAAATATACAGCCAGAGCTACAATGGAATGGTTTAGATCAAAGCATATTCATGTGTTCAGAATGGCCCAGTCAAAGTCCAGACCTAAATCCAATTGAGAATCTGTGGCAAGACTTGAAAATTGCTGTTCACAAATGCTCTCCATCCAATCTGATAGAGCTTGAGCTATTTTGCAAAGAAGAATGGGAAAAAATGTCACTCTCTAGATGTGCAAAGCTGGTAGAGACATACCCAAAAAGACTTGCAGCTGTAATTGCAGTGAAAGGTGGTTCAATAAAGAATTGACTCAGTGGGGGCTTAATACGAATGCACGGCACACTTTTCAGATATTTATTTGTAAAACATTTTGAAAACCATTTATCATTTTTCTTCCACTTCACAATTATGTGTCACTTTGTGTTGGTCTATCACATAAAATCCCAATTAAAAACATTTACGTTTTTGGTTGTAACATGACAAAATCTGGAAAATTTCAAGGGGTATGAATACTTTTTCAAGGCACTGTATATCATTTAACTCCTTTTTTTGTGGGTTATACCTAGTTTATGAAAGTAATGAAATAAAACCATTTCCCGTGTACAGTACATGTATAAACGAAGGATGCTTTATTGAAAACACCAAAAAAACATCTCGGGCATAAAGGTATGGTGTCTCGATAACATGGCACAGTAAAAACAAAATTGAGCATTCTACCCACCACTTTAAACTTTGTAATCTATTGACTGACGCCTTCCCCATTTTCCTCTACCTCTTAACTACTACACCGATCTCCATCCATCCAAGTGCTTCTTATGATCCATCCCTGGACCCAATGCTGCCAGCTCGTCACCAACTTACACTATATTGCCAAAAGTATTGGAATGCCTGCCTTTACATGCACATGAACTTTAATGGCATCCCAGTCTTAGTCCCTAGGGTTCAATATTGAGTTGGCCCACCTTTTGCAGCTAAAACAGCTTCAACTTTTCTGGGAAGGCTGTCCACAAAGTTTTAGGAGTGTGTCTATGGGAATGTTTGACCATTCTTCCAGAAGTGCATTTGTGAGGTCAGGCACTGTGTCGAACGAGAAGGCCTGGCTTGCAGTCTACGCTCTAATTCATCCCAAAGGTGTTCTATCGGGTTGAGGTCAGGACTCTGTGCAGGCCAGTCAAGTTCCTCCACCCCAAACTTGCTCATCCATGTCTTTATGGACCTTGCTATGTGCACTGGTGCGCAGTCATGTTGGAACAGGAAGGGGCCATTCCCAAACTGTTCCCACAAACTTGACAGCATGAAATTGTCCAAAATGTCTTGGTATGCTGATGCCTTAAGAGTTCCCTTCACTGGAACTGAGGGACCAAGCCCACTCCCTGAAAAACAGCCCCACACCATAATCCCCCCTTCACCAAACTTTACACTTGGCACAATGCAGTCAGGCAAGTACCACTCTCCTAGCAACCACCAAACCCAGACACGTCCATCGGATTGCCAAACAGAGAACCGTGATTCGTCACTCCAGAGAACACGTTTCCACTGTTCTAGAGTCAAGTGGTGATGTGCTTTACACCACTGCATATGATTCTTTGCATTGTAAGGCTTGGATGCAGCTGCTCAGCCATGGAAACCCATTCCATAAAGCTCTCTACGCACTGTTGTTGTGCTAATCCGAAGGCCAGACAAAGTCTTTAGCTTTTGACTCTGCAGACAGTTGGCGACTTATGCACACTGTGTGCTTCAGTATGCGCTGACCCCACTGTTATTTTACGAGTTGCTGTTGTCCCCCTTTTTTCCACTTTGTTATAATAGCACTAGCAGTTAACCGTGTAATATTTAGTAGCAAGTAAATTTCACAGATGGATTTATTGCACAGGTGGCAACCTATTACAGTACCACGCTTGAGTTGACTGAGCTTCTGAGAGCGACCCATTTTTTTCACAAATGTTTTTAGAAGCAGTCTGCATGCCTAGGTGCTTGATTTTATACACCTGAGGTCATGAAGGTGATTTGAACACCTAAATCCAATAATTTGGAGGGGTAGCCCAATACGTTTGACAATATAGTGTATAAAATGTACATTGTTATTATCTTTTTTTTATTGGCTAAATGTTGTGCCCACTCTTATTGTCAATTGCATTCCAGCTTTAAAAATAATAAATAAAAAACAAAATGGAGTCCATGTGTCATGTATCTCTTACCCACGAGTAACTCTAATTTGCAAAACTGCCCTAACAGACCTGTTTAAGTGATCTTATAGTTTAATAGGTCTTGAGATAAACACAGGATTTCCTTTCTTTCTTGCTTTTCCTTATCTGCATTCTTTTTCTAGATTAATAATAGAATAGCATTTTCAGAAAAATAAGGTCAGCAATGGCCTCCACATTTTGCTGATAAGAGGTTTCCTTTAAATGTAAGTTTCCATTTTGTTTAGTAGTAGTTTTTAGAAGGTTTGCTTTTTTCTTTTATGAAATTGCTATAGACATTACCATGCACTGTCAGAATCTCACTGTTTTAAGATGCATATGAGTCTATAGAAAATATCTGAAACTCTAGCAGATGAAGTCTCAGGCCAATGACACCCAGACATGCTTAGAATTTACTTTCAAAACAATGAATGAAAGAGATGAGCATTGTTTACATCACAGGCGTCAAACTGCGGCCCTCCAGCTGTTGAGGAACTAAGAGTCCCATCATGCCTTTGCCTTTGTGAGTCATGCTTGTAATGGTCAGCCTTGCAATACCTCATGACAGTTGTAATTCTGCAACAGCTGGAGGGCCGCAGTTTGACACCCCTGGTTTACTTGATGGGCTCACTGTATCTTCATAGAATCTACATATGGTTCTATTCAGAAAAGTATAATTTGAAGGAAGCACATTTTAAAAAGGCTAAAAGTCAAAGAGCTCTTCAGTAAGAAATAGTACCCTATATATTATCTAATGTGTATTTGTATATATCATGGTGTACCATTATGCTATCTGTGAATATTGGAAACTAAAGTAATGTTCTTTTTTCATTGTAGGGAGGTGCCTTACTGGGAGGGGTGAATGCTTTGCATACATCATTTCCAGATAATCCACAGGAGCAGTACCAAATGCAGTGTGAACTTCTCTTAGAGAGACTGGGACTCCAAAATATACTGAGGGAAGAATTGCAGAGACTAGAAAGGTACATAAGCCTACCACTTTTGTATGTAAGTGGTAGGGAAAGCCACATAGTTTGTACTTTTTTTGAAGTAACACGTCATTTTATAGTCTTTTCTAAGTCCAAATTTTTGTTTATTTAAAAATGTTATGTATTGAAACAAATCAAAAAAAGCCTAATCTTCTCAGCTTTTAAGGTATTTTATTTAAGCATAATACATTTGTATATGCTTTTTTCCTAAACACACATTACAGCAGCTACTGTATGGCATCACAGGGCTCAGTCAGGTGACAATTCATAAATCCACCCATCCTTATAGTGCTCTGTGAGCCCTGCACTGCACAATGTCATTTTTTTCCCTGTCTTGTTGCAGGAGCTAGAAGATATCGGACTATGACATGTGGGAGTAGCGTAGGTAGTTTGATTAAGGTTGTGTAAAACCTGGAATACCAGTTCATACATGTCTTATTTGGTTAATTTACTCTTTTGAACCAACAGTTAAGGTCTAGATTCCTTCTTACATCCATAGCTATTTGTTTTTAACTTTAATGATAAAAATCTGTTTTATATCCTATTGGCTCAGGCTAAAGAAGTCAGAATGATGACTACTGTGCTAACCAATCCTTTGCAATTTTTACATGCTGTAAATGTTGTTGTTTGTAGATCAATAGTAAACAGATATATATACTATATATCAACCGTTTGACCACAACAGTTTATTGCAGAATATTTTAGTTTTTTGTGAAAAACCCAAAATAATGTTGAATTTTTAGTATCAAATTAGGATCATTTAAATTCAATGGGAAGAAAGAGTATATTGTTTTTTCCTCTTAAATGTGTGAAGCACAATGTCAGCCTTTCCCCTAGCAAGCAATTATATCCCAAATCCCATTTTTGTAATGCAGACTAAAATAGAAGAAACTAGCATCTGTTGCCTTTGGTGAAATAGCTATGTATAATTGGCTGGGATCAACTTGTTTATATGAGTCTTGGTTTGTCCATACTCTGAAATAGAAATAGGTAATAATGTGTCAGATTAACAAAAATATATATTTTTCTCTCTTTTGTATTAGCTACATTTTACATTAATTCTATAAATTTTCTTTTCAATACAGACAGCAGTATCTAGACACCAATCAGCTGCAGCAAGGAGAGAATAATACCACTGTCACCACTGAGGGTTCTGTCACTAATAAAAACACCCCATGGTGATAATGTGAAGCCACACATTTCAGAAATGGGACACACCAACAGAGCAAATGTCAGCTGTGACTCAAACACAAAGACACAGGAGGCTGAAAAAATATTCTTCTCCTCCAGCACCTAACAACTGTACAACAAAGAATATTTGCAGAGATGGTTCTGATTTGTTGGTAGATCGAAGCATACAGCTTGGATCTTCTGAAGAGCTTAACAACAGACGGCAACAAAATTCTTCAAAACTGTCTGAATAAGACAAGCAGTGGTTTTGGCCTGGATTGGTTTGACACTATCCAGACAGGAAGGCAAGGAATCAATATTTCTCCAATTTCTAAAACAGCAGAGTACACAACCATGAAACCTCAAACAATTCCACCAAGACTTGAAGCTGCCAGTAATGATTTCAATAAAAATACCATCAATGCAAGCGCTGCCAAGCAAGTAACAGAAAAAGGCTCATGTGAAACAAAAGGAAATAATTTACCAGATGAAATTATTACTGAACATGTTTCTAAAAAATGGCACAAACTGAATAAAAAGCGTATGAAAAACACAACTGATGAACCCTGTATAACGAAGCTCTGTGGATATGGAGGTCCTTCAGAAGAAGCCGACGATTCATCTACAGGTCCTGTGCACAGCACTCCTGTCCGAAGCAGAAAGCGACCACTCGCTCATGTGGATCCAAGGAAAGGGATATCAGATATCCAGGATCCTGAGCTGCAGGCAAGATTAGCCCAACTAGCCAAGTTTTCATTTAAACAAAAGACAAAACTCCTGCACAACCCAGGGATAGAAAATGAGTTGACTGCTACTTCTGGTAACAATGACAAAGAAGGTACCAAACCAATGCAGAAACCTGCAGAAAAACTCCGGAGACTGCTGGAGGTATCAGAAAGCTCGGATCAAGCCAGTTCTGTAAGGCAAGAAAAGTCTTGTGCTGCCACAACAGATGTGACCCTAGAGAAAGAAGCACATGTTGTGAGCCATGTTGTCTCCCCTTCTGTGTTAGTAAATGAGGAAACAAATCAGACTGAGACCTCACACAGTAGAAAGGTCTCTTCTAGTACACTTGCCAGGCTGGCAATGTTTTCCTTCACCTCATCATCTGAAGACAAAATAGCTGACAAACCAGGTGTTATTCCTGGAAGTGAAAACCCTTTATCCTCCAGGAACCTGGATGCAGGAGGAAAGAGGAAATGTTTTCACCTGGAGTCTATCACTAACAAAGCTGTTGGAGCAAAATCACTTTTTAGTAGTACAGACTTTGATGATGAAATGTTAGATTTAGACTGGAATATTGAGATAAATGGAAAAAAGTAACATCTCTTTGCCAATGTTCTAATAATAAATACTGTATATTTGTTAAGGAAATGTGTTACTACTTGCTCCGTATGTTTATTAACGCAACACTTGAAACTATCTGATCAAGAGGTTTATTGGAAAAGATGATTATATCCTGTGTTCATCATGCAGTCAGCAGATGGCAGTGCAGACTTCACAGACTTATGGTCACATACAATATATTTCATGTTTTTCTTTACGCACATTTCCTAATGTTTAAATATGTCTATGTAATATACTGTCTTATAAATTTTTTACATTTCCTCTAGTTTAGGTTAGAATAACCAGTCTCGGGTAATCACATTTTTTAGTAATTTTTTTTTAATACTTGCATTTAAGGAATTCACATAGTGTTTAATCAGGGGAATAATAACACTAATGTCATCATATATTTGTCCTGGTGGCCACTCACAGTGAGGAAAAATATCCAGAATTTTGAGTTGTCACTGGAACAGGGATAGAGGCAGAGTTTCAGTAGGCACACTTGTTGCATTGACACCAGATGTAAATAGATTTTTGTGTTCTTTTATATCCGATTACCTCCATGTCTGTCCAGACAAGAAAAAAAAAACAGGAAAGCTCTGTCTCCTTTTCCATATTTTCTGACTTAAACATGACACATCTGAGACTGATTTAAACAGCTGCCCATAGATCTGACAGGAGCCCAGAAAACTAAATGCAGCAGAAAACTGAATGGACTTGGATGTCACAAAACGTTACACCAGTTTTTTCGGCTCCAGTTTAGCAGGATATTTTTTCATCAATCCTCTGCTGATCAGACGGGATGGAGCTTGTGTAAAAGGGGCCTATGAGAAAATTTCTCCCACTTTGGAAGGATTTCCTCTCACTTCCCGATATGTCTACAGAGCACAAAATAAGGGAAATTTCCCAATGGGATACCCATACAAAAAAACTGTTAGGGACTTAAACCTTCCTTCTTTAAAAACAAGTTTTGGTTTTAGATATATTTTATATTACAGCACTATTTATAGTAATATTTCTGCCAGTTACACTCCACTAGAGCTGGTCATTCTACTATATAAGTGATGCCAAAAGTGTTGCTCCCATGTGGACATTAAACTAAACTACACTGTCATAGCTGCACTTCTGCACAGGATTGCGATATATATATATGGCTATTAGTTGTGGAAATGTTGACCAATAACCCATTGTGTTCTCTCATATCGGCAGAAATATAGGTGCGGCTGCATGGGTCACAGTATAAATACATAAAATGTCAATATATTTATATACATAAGTATTGGAAAAATGATCATTTGGAGGTCTGCATAGATTATCAAGTGCTTCAGTGAGTTGGTAAATCAAACCTGTAGTGAAGATCAAAGAAATTCAGAGACCTGCTTTCTGACTGGTAAACACATAAATTGGGTCTGTAGGCCTGTGTAATACACATGTACTGTTAGGAAGAACATCTGATGCTGCCAAAGAAGTGATGAGGAATGCATATGAGCATACATGTGTAAATTATCCCTAAATCCTTTTTATACAGAAAAGTGTTCTGCTGTAGCTCACAATAAAGATCCCAAAGCATGATCTGTCCATGATACCACACAGAGGAGTTTAGAGAGGAAATATGTAAAAAAAATAATTCAGACTCTATCTACATACTATCAACACTGTACCTGTTTGGGCATGGGTTGGGTTGTGTGGATACAATGAAATTATCATTGTCCATAGTGGAGGAAACAACACTAGGTTTATGCCATATGACATAAAACTACATGTCATAAGCAGCACTCCAAGACAGAGAGATTTTGGATGAGCATCTGGTTTAAACAGTGTTGTTTCCTTTACATTTGACTTCACAGTGACACATGTTGGAGAATTAGCTCAATCTACTCACCCCTATTGTTACTTGAATGAATGCACACATTTAATTTTAAAATATGGCTATACAGGGCATTGCCTCCCAACATTGCAGTTGTGCCTGTAACTATCTGCTGCTAAACTTGTTCCACAGCAGGACAACAGGTAGGCAAAGCCCGAGTGTGTGAACTTGTACCTCATGTATAAGAACCATTTTCATTTTTCCTTTACCTATGTATTGGAACTGGATCCAGAAAAAAGGACATGGCTCTTTTACCCACCAGTATGGACCATCTTATGGGCTGTTTCACTCTAACAACTTTGTAGCAATTAAATAGCTAGCTACAGACTTGCTGATGTAGCTAGTTACAATGCTTGTCTATGCAGCTTCAAATCTTTGGCGTTTCATGATCTTCGGCAGCAGCATTGGATAATGTTAGTAGCTAATTAAGCTAGTGATTACGTTGCTAGCTCCAAATGCTGCAAAAAGTCAACTGCTCAGCAACTGAGCTACAAATCACTGGAATTGCAACTCAGACCACATGTTTTCCATTAATCTAGAGTTCTCAGCTTGCTGCGAATGCTTTTCACAATTTACTGTGTAAAAGGGAAATACCCTTCATTGTTTTCAGCAATTATAACCCATGCAGTTGTAAAAAAAAAAAAAAATCCAAGAATGCAACACATTGGGCGTTCTGTTACTGGCAACTATATCCCACTATTTTAGTGTGATGGTAACTGTTTTACTGTGGATTGCTTGATCTCACCTTATAACCTAAGGCACCTGACTTCATCCACCAAGGGTTGCCCCTCACATAGGGAATATTTTGAGGTAGAATTTTAAAGCCCAGCTATAGATAAACGCTTTTTAAGTCTCACAGCTAGATTTTGTATTCTTTTGTTGCCTGTGTTTCCATTGAGGGAATTTCATTTTGCTTCCTATTATGTTTCAGGCCTGTCAAATAGGGACCTAGTTACCATCTCCAAAGTGAGGAAACCACAATAAAAAGACAGATGATGATGGTTTAACCCTAGCAGGTTATCCACACAGCCTTTCTTCCAAAAAATGGGCTCTTCATATTGTTTGCATGTGCTTCACAGCTCTATCCATTCATGTGGGAAAGCTGACTAAAGCAGCCTAATGATGTTGCTCAGAGTATAGATATACCATGGAAATGAATAGGCCATGGCACTCAAGCACAGTGTGAATCAGCACTTTTGAAAAGAGAGGCTTTGCAGGATGACAAAAAGTACTTCACCTGATGAGCAGCACTTAGTGGTTTAGGGGGATCCTAATATAGAAAAACTACAAATGTACAGTTGTCCTTTAAGCATATTGTCATTATTCTGTTTGCATACAAAACTGCTGTAAAAAGCGGAGTTACCATTAAATCTAAATACAATACTTTAACATATACAAATAGAAAAAGTAGGTTTTGTTGTTCTTCAAGAACAAATTTTCTTTTGCTAGGGGACGTGATTGCATTCCCAGGCCAAGATCTTAGCATGTTGCTACAATATTTTGTAAATATTTACAGCATGGCCATGCAAATGTAATGGCATGCACGCCACCAGTATAAAATCTAAGCTAGAAAACAAAGTTTCAGAATATATTTGAGCACTGCCTGATGAGGGGAGAGGTTTATAATGTTGCTCAGTCATTGATTAATGGAAAAAAACCGTACTCACAAGCCAGCTTGTTAAAAAATCATCATTGTTATGGCACCTCCAGATGGTGACTGCCACCGGGTGTCTGGACCGGGAATGGAGGAAGGGGCATTTAGTTCCCCAACTGGACAACCAAAAAGCAGCACAAGTAGGTGTAAGGATGGAACCTGGAATCCCAAGTCCCACCTGTAAAAAAAAAAAAAAAAAAAAGTCAATTGGAGCAGAGTTATCTAATCTCTATATGCAAGAAAAGAAACAACCAAAGAAAATGAGTGCTACCAGTTGTGTCCAAAAATTCAAAAACTGTAGGGGTTTTAAATACATATAATATCAAATTTGTGAACGTAACATATGTACTCGAAGTAGACTAAAAATTAAAGGTGTAATCTCGTGGTATATAAAAATGATAATAATAGTGAATTAGCAGGTATTTGAAAAACTGTATGTACTCCAGCAATGGAGCCAAAAAATGGAGGAAGGAGAGCAAAGATCCTAAAAAAAGAAAGGAAAGGAAACCACAATAAAATGCACCAAAATTTAAAAACGAGTACTGTGCAAACATTACAGAGCCATAAGCACCAGTAAGAGGTTACCAACGCACAAAGTGATAAGTAACCCATATAAATGTCTGAGAAAGATCATTATATAGATGTGCAAGCACATGCATATATTAACCATGTGCTGTGATGTGTGGTCTAAGGATCTCCTCTGAAAACACCCCTGCCTTACATGGACAGGTACCTCCCTCTAGCTTCTCCCTTTAATTTGTCCCCAACTGGGGGGTCAAAAAAAAGCCTGTGGGCAATTGATTTAGTTTGTGCTTGTTTATTGCTTGCTCAGTTAAAAGATCTTACAGGTAACAGGCCTGTTTACTTGAATTGTCTCTGTGTAGTTATGATAATAATGGGAATTTTTTTTTTTTCGTAAAGCGGAAATTTACCCATAACAACTTGATTAAAAATAATGTGCAAGCACATTTTTTATCAAGGAACATACATTCCTCATTAATAATTTTGCTGCCAAAATGAGTCTGTGATGTAAATTGCCTTCAGTATTGTTCCTATTTCTTCTTGCTGGAGGCTGCCATTTTGCTGAAGTCCAGAGCTCCTGAACAGCAGCAAATCTTTAGGCTATCGGCGGATTGGCCCCTAGTGGCTCTGATTTTTGGCACAGTACCTAAAAGTAATGAGCATGTGCAGAGCAGAGTAGGGCAGTATATTGCTGGATTTTAAACTGTATAGGCACTTATTTTTAATGTTTTACACAGCTATACCTGCAAAAGGGGTCAGCCTGAAGTTCCACTTTAATGGTACCCAGGCACATGTCTCATCATTGCTTCAGGTAGTGCAGCTGGTAAAAAAAAAATCACGTTCCATCGCACTAATGAAGCAATGATCTGTGAACGATTTCAGAAAAATATAAGATATGTGGTAAAAGTGTAAACATTATGCAGAGAAAATGTAAAA